TTATTCACAAAACATCTCAACTTAAACATGAAGAATCAATCCTCATGTTTAAAACTCCAAATAAAAACCTGAAATTCCATTAAAAGTCCTCAAAAAACAGATCGTGTAGCTCGTTAAACAAAATAAGAGAGATTGCTTTGGCTCTCAGAGGAGAGAGGAGTGCAGAAATGGGTTTTATCAGAACACAGGGAGCCATTGTTACTCTGACACTGTGTTAAAAACAGCGCTGGACCAATCCCGGAGCTCAGCCGGGGGAACTCTGGATTTGTTCTGTCTGCTAGGAAATGATAAGCTTGACAGAGCTCAATACCCAAGAGCTGCATGTGTGTGTGCGCGTACGTGTGTGTGTGTGGGAGACAGGATTACAGCACACCTCTGTGGGGACACGACGCTGTGAAGTGGACCATGGCTGAACAACAAAAAAACAACATCAATCTCTTTTCAAAGACACGAAGGCTTTCAGGGAAAATCCAGGTAGTGTTCAAACACACACAAGCATGCATGCACACACACACATTTAGAAATAAAAACATCAAAACTGTTCCCAAAACAGCAAATCCTTATTACATGGAGGCATGTCACATGACTTTGAGTGTGATACTGTGTCTATGTAACAGCGTGATGGTAGATGTGAGTAAGCAAATATGAAACAACCACCACAGGCTCACTGGAAATGTCAAATGTAAAATACATTGCTCTAGGTACGTTTTGTTGCACGTTTCTGAAGACAAATCCACTAGAGGGTGCTGTGTATCTTTTTACAATACTTAAATATGCTACTAAGGACAGTGGTCACCAATCCCCAGGCTGCAGTCTGGTCCAGGGATCAATTGATATTAAACCGCTCAAAAAATCATTAATTATTTTTGTTTAATCTATTACCGAAGTCTGAACAATCTTTTTTTTTTAAAAAACTTTTATTTTGAAAAATGTCATATTCTCTCGGTTACATCTTGGCCACTCGAGCGCCAAAATTTAACCTACAAGCTAGCAAGATGAGTAAGTAACAGACATCTTTGGAAAGTTTCTTTGCGGATAAAAAATGCTCCGTGAAGGACCCACAGACTGCCAAGGAATGGATCTGCAACACATTTGTCAACAAATCAGGTAAATCCAGTGAAAGTTCACATATCATGTCTATTCCTCACGTAAGTTCGTTATATCCAATGAAGGCGCACGGCTTGCATGCTCATATATGGAAAGATGCGCGTAAGTGGCAAAACTCGCTCGCGTTTTACAGGTAAACCCAGTTGAAAACATCTTTTAAGAGTGCTATGAGCACACAATGAGTAGGGCCAGACGGAATCTACGGACATTTTTTGCTATTTCTGCTGAGAATTTATTATAGTTATTCTATCACAATAATATTAGTGCAATTAATTTGAACTGAATAAATATAAATTTACACACATTTACACAAGTAAACATAGACTCACTGATGGGCTAAAAATCACGTGCAGATTCCGTGTGGGTCTAGCCATGAGTCACATGACAAGAACTGACCAATCAGCTTCATGCTTTGTATGGAACATTCACATTTGGGTAGATTAATTACTTCAGAAAAAACACAGAACACTCAAGCACTGCAGTGTTTTTTTTTTTTTTTTGCAGCAATGTTTTGTCAGCTTGAAAACGGTGGATGGTTGTAACCTACGTACACCCCCACCCCCTGGGCTGTGCTAAAATTGTCAAGCGTTGACCGGTCCACAGTGATAAAAAGATTGGGGACCACTGACTTATGATACATTGGGTTGCACATCTTTCATGTACACATCCATGAGAAGGCAGTGCGAATTTAAAAATAATAAAATACATTCACTAATAATTGCTGGAATTATTCATATATGGACATTTAAACCTACACAAAGTTAAGTGGATTGAACAAAAAGCATTTAAGAAAATAATTTCAAAAACTATGTTATCTCAGCTCAATTTAAATAAGTAGTTTTAACAAGCAGCAAAAATCTTTTTTTAATTGTATGAATAATATTTAGCTATAAATTATTATTATTAATAATAATAATAATAATAATAATAAATACAAGATATGTAAAATAATGCATGTGATATCAAGCGATTGTCAAATCTCAAAAACTCTTCAAAAGTCTTCAAAAGCGGTTTGTGTAGTTTCTCGATGAACGACGACCTTTTGCGGTAAATATTGCTAATGTTAAACCTGAAAGTACATGCAAATACCACATATATGTGATGTTTTAACTCAAAATTCACTTCATAATTGTCCCTTAGCACAGGGTATATGCAGGAATCCTAAAAATAATTTCAATACCTTTTTAAAGACCTTCTCAGAATATTTTAAGACCTCAGCGCCACTTCTAATCGCCAAGTACTAATCAGTATCAAACCTTTAACGTAATAAACAGTTGTAGTTAAATAAATCAATGGAGCGCAGCCATGCAACAGAACTCAGATAAGCTCGGAAGAAACAAAGCTTGAAAGAATAAATTACGCGGTTGTTTTTAGCGACAGGCTTCAGCCACTATTTAAACTATTCGAACCCATCGCGAGGATCAAGCACGCCGTTGTTATTATTAGGAGGAAATTAAATATATTTATGCTTTTTTGGAGTCAAGCACTTTGGACAACCCTTGAACAAAATTGAAGACCTCGTAAAAACGTGATTAAGACTTTTTAAGGGCCTTAAATTTCTCATAATTGATTAACCAACTTTTAATGCTTTTTAAGACCCCGCGGACACCCTGTAAAAAGCCAGAGCCCAAAAACCCATAAATAAATAGTTTTTTTTTTTTCATGTAGTGAATTTTACAGGCTCATTAGCTGTATTCCAATAGGCTTACTTTTGAAGCAAGTGCCTTTTATAAGCATTTTCTTCTTCGAGAAAGTGACAGGCTCAGTAATATCAATTATATTAAATTGGCAATTATGATATTTTCATACACAATATCAAATCTTATATCATAATTAATAAAAAAAATAGATTTTGTTATATAATGAAATAATATATTTCTAAATTACAAGTGTGGTGCAATAAAAAAAATACAGCCTTTTTAAGGAGCTTTACTGTATGTATGTTTGTTGTTAGCAACCAAACATTTTTCAAAAAGAATAACTTGACTGTAATTTAACATCTTTCCTTATCTCATATCTTTATAAACTGCAGTTTTAAAGTAGCTTTTCCAGTCCTCGACTCTCCATTCAAAGACACAGGCTTCAAAAGAAATCAAGCAAAAATAAGTCAGTCAATAGCCCCTTTCACACATACAGACCTTTGCGGAAAATTACCGGCAATTTTCCGGAAAGGTGTGTATGTGTGAACAGGCCCCTTTTTTAAATACCGGTAAATTCGTTCTGGCTATTTTCCGGAAAGAGAAGTTGTAAGATTACCGGTAATTTACTGGATTGCTGCGCTGTGTGAACGCAAGAGGAAGATTGCCGGAAAGAGCGCGTGCACGTCTTGAACGTGCTGACGTGAGACGCCTGCTTTAGCCAATCAGAACAGTCAGACGCATTCACGTCTGCGCGGTTTATGAGAATAAAAGCCTTTGATAATTTTACCAGACATATTTAGCAGCTAGAAATTAGTAAGATAATGTTTATTTGTTCATCTTAATGCCAACCGTGTAAATAATTATTGATAAGATGCTTAAGATAAGCCGCTGTTTGTTTACCTTCAAGCTTTGCGTGTGCCCGTGAAACAGCCCATAATTATTTGTAGCCTACTGTTTAAACTACCTGACTTGCATGGTCTTTGTTTTACCCATAAACAAATCATACTTTAAATGAATAAAGGTAAGTTACACACATAATTACAACCTGTCAATCACTTTTTTCTGCGGGACTCGTGAATAGGCAGTGACCTGTGTCGTTATAATGGCGTCGGTAAAAAAGGTGCACAACCAACAGGAACCAGCCAACAGTATCTGAGGTGCAACTGTGTTTTTTTTTGTCGACAACATGAACGGTGTCAACATAACTAACTGGAAATCCAAAATACTTCCACACCGGCGACTTCATTGAAAGAGGAGAGGGTTTAAGTTCTGTCGACGGGTCTCCTGAGTCTGCAGTTTAACAAGCACTTCAACAAGCCTGTTTTTTCCCCGCTTGGCAAGCCAAGCTAACATGACATGGGGGCGTGGCAGCATCGACGATTCTATTTTTTTATTTGATAATCGAAGTTGAGCATAAATTTCGATCGATTTCGATTAAAAATCGAAATCGTGACACCCCTAGTAGTCAAATGTTTACAAATACAAGCGCAGCCGTTTAGAGCTCATTTCTGTTTAATGATGTCAAAATTTACCGGTATTTTGGAATGGATGTGTAAATGGTGTTTTCCAGAAAAAATCCGTAACGTTCTCTCATGTGTGAACAGTACTTTCTTGAATTTACTGGTAAAGTCGTTCCGGAAATTTTCCATATATTTACTGGTATCACTGTGTGAAAGGGGCTATTGTGCAGAGAGAGAGAGAGAGAGAGAGAGAGAGAGAGAGAGAGAGAGAGAGAGAGATGACCCTCTAAAAAGAGAACGACTGAAAGTATAATATGACGATTTCATAAAATACAGGCCTGATACACAATCACCGCAGCAGAATCCATCTACATAAATGCACTATAGCGAACATTTTCTCTTTACTGTCTCTTTCTTTTCATCTCTTGTCTTTTAGATGAGTATCGTCTATCTGTCTCAATCTCACAGGGACGTGAAGAGTGTCTGAAAGGCCTGATATGATCCACCACCAAGCTTTTTTCTTTACAAATTTAGCAAAACCAACTAGCAAACAGAAATGAAAATAGATTTGTAAGCGAGACAAAAAAGGATGTGTAATTAAAAGACAAAAACGCCAAACAAGCCCTAAAAGTACTCAAAACAACCTACAATTTCTTACATTTCTAAATGGCGTCCTCTTGGTTTTTTTTTTACAATGTAAACCGCATTGAACCAAAAATCATGACTGAATCCACTATTTAGTGAACCATCACATGGCGATTTAGAGCATTTGTGGAAGTGTCCCATGTCTTACCCTGGTCTGAGAGGAAGTCCAGCATGGTCTGCAGCAGGAAAGAGAGATGTCTGACTGACAGGCCTGGGTTCCCCATACGACGAGACGCGTAAACAAGCTCATGAAGCAACCGCAACTGCACTGCTGCCCATCCACGATGAGTCCCTGCAGAGAGAGGGGAAGAGAAAACATTTAAACACACACTAAACAGTTTTGTTGGAATTTGTTCATGTCTTTGCGTTTCCATTTTTATTATTTATGAAATTATGATTGCCTTTTGTTCAAACTACTTATTTTAAATGAGCTGAAACAACACAATTCTTGAGTTTTTGGGGGGACAACTTAATTATCAATCCACCTAAATTTGTAAAAAAAACTAATAAGTTAACCTAATTCCTTCATGTTGCTCCAACGCAAATCAATTATGTGGAACCCATCATATTTTATAGTGTAAAAGTACCCCAGTACCCCACGGTTACTACGTCCCTGCCTATTAGACAGCAATTTTGTCACTTTTGCAGCATTTCATTTAACTTTTCTCTTCAGAAATGAGACTTCTTCCAAAGAACAAAGTCATAACTTTAGTCTTGTATGCTTCATGAGACTTTTAGATGACCGTCTAGTACCAAAACCAGAAGTTAACAAGGGGTTGGGGCAAAAGCTTCCAATATTAATATAAATATTGCCCCCTTCCCGATTAAACAAAATATATTATGGCTGTAGCAATAAAAGTGAAAATGAAAAAAAAAAAATGCTCTCTCTGTAAGTGCTTGTGTAAAGTTGAGCCTTATTACAAACTTCTAATTGACTAACTTTTAAAGTTTAAATAACCTTTTATCAAAAACATATAGCGTTTATTGTCTTTCGATTTTGTTGATAAAAAGAAACCCAAATTTTCTTTCAGTGCAACAAAAGTTCATTCATTCAATCATTTTACTTCGGCTTCGTCTCTATTTCAGAGATCAAGTTTTCTCTAAACATTAACCGAATAGTTAATAAAGTGTTGCCGATATTAAACAAGATTTATTTTTATTTCTGTGCGGTGCTGGAAATTTGACCTAAGAGTGTTAACACATAACACTGAGTGGTCTTCATATGATCCTTTGTGGTGGTCATATTTTAAACTATAAGAGTTTGCTAATTAACTCTCTGAGTGTTGATAATGTTAACTCTTTCAAAAGTGTTATTGTAACACTTTCAAAGTGGTTCCCATATAAACTCTGAGGTAGTGTTAATTTTAACTCTAAGGTAGTTAAATCTACTATCTAAAATGTACAGTGTAGATGAGGAGATTGCCCCTAATGTGGGAATTATTATTATTATTATTATTATTATTATTATTATTATTATTATTATTATTATCATTAATATTGTTATTATTATTATTGTTGTTGTTGTTGTTGTTGTTATTATTATTATTATTATTATTGTTGTTATTATTATTATTATTATTATTATTATTATTATTATTATTATTATTATTATTATTATTATCATTAATATTGTTATTATTATTATTATTATTATTGTTGTTATTATTATTATTATTATTATTATTATTATTATTATTGTTATTATTGTTATTATTATTAATATTATTATTATTATTATTATTATTATTATAAAATAAAAATAATAATAATATAATTGTTGTATAAATGCTATTTTCATTCACTTAAAAAAATATGGGTGTAACACAATTTAATTGTGTTGTAACAACATGTATGAAGATAAACAAATTGTTATTTACAAATTTAAGTAGATTGAACATAAAACAATTAAGTTTTCTCAAAATAATCTCAAGAATTGTTTTATTTCAGCTGATTTTAAATAAGCAGTTTAAACAACCAGCAAAAATATTTTTTATTATTACTGTATGCCACCTATAAGCCGCATTAAAAGTTCAGTGAATAAACACAAAATGCCAGCGAGCGAATATTACCGTCTATAAAAACCATGTTCATCATCCGCCTTCATCTTAAGAATTATTGTGACAAGAAGATCGACCCCGGTCAAGCTTTGTTTGTACATACAGCATCTTTTTCGGCTCAAACTGTCAGATAGACCTCATCAAATTTACAGTCCTAAATTACATCATCCGGCAGTGGAGTAACAGAAGTCATCCATCAGGAAAGTCACAGAGAGAGAGAGAAATGAAGCTGATCTGTGCTTTCCCTGAGAAAACTAAATGTGCCAGCAGCTCTGCAATGATTGTGAGGATTTATCACACTCACATGATCGTCTATTTCACACTCACCTTACACTCAATTCATGCAAATCCACACTAAGCTTTACAGCAGAGAGGGTGCAACCTGAAACGGCGACAACTTTCATGTCTGATGCTTTTCATCAGGAAGCCAGAATAGCTACAACACTACTAAAGCCAGCTATGTCTCCATGCATATAGCATGCAGTTCTTTGAGTTACTATTACCCAGATTCTTTTGCACTGCAGAAGAAGAGCGGCTTATGATTTTTAGCAGTGGTCAAAGATGCAATTGGAGGAGTTTTTTCAACAACAACAACAGAAAAGTGAATTTAAGATTGAATAATGAATTGAGCAAATGCAACCGTGTGCAACAAACAGACCTGTGGAGTCAAAATGCAAAATTGATGTTGTAGTATGTTCCAAGACTGTCCCAAAACAATCCAAACACATGACTAATGCATAAACCTGCATGATCCTAAAAGTGTAAGCACACAAACAGAGGATTCTGAGTATTCAGGGGTCATGAAACTAAATATAAATTATGAACAAAGACCAGGCTGCATGCAGACAGTCTGTGTGGTTGACAACAGACTCTCTAACAGAAGTAAACTTTGGGTTTTTGATAGTGAACATTAAGGGTGTCACGATTTCAATTTTAAATCGGAATCGATCGAAATTCATGGTCAATTTCGATTATCGAATCAAAAAATGGAATCGTCGATGCTGCCACGCCCCCATGTCACGTCAGCTTGGCTTGCCAAGCGGAAAAAAAGGAGTGCTTGTTGAACTGCAGACGCAGGAGACCCGTCCACAGAAATTAAATCCTTTCCTCCTTTAATTTAGTCGCCGATGTGAAAGTATTTTGGATTTCCAGTGAGTTATTCAATTCAATTTAATTCAGCTTTATTTGTATAGCGCTTTTACAATGTAGATTGTGTCAAAGCAGCTTCACATAAATGGTTATGTTGATAATGTTCGTGTTGTCGAAAAAAAAAAAACAGTTTGCAAGCTCTGCTATGTATTAGAGTTGGGCCGATAGACAACACCGACTTTGCAATCCTCCGCCCCGCCCCCGTTGCAAATCCGCTCATGAAAAATACACACTCAGGCCCTGTTTACATCAATAGGTCTTAGTTTTTAAATAGCATTTTATAACAATAACGATCCACATCCACACTGGCGTTTTGCCTTTCTGAGCAGCCCTCCTTCCTCCTTCTACCGATGCCATTATAAGGACACAGATCACTGGCTATTCACGAGTCCCACGGAAAAAGTGATTGACAGGTGGCAATTATGTGTGTAACTTTTCTTTATTCATTTACTTTGATTTGTTTATGATTTTGTTAAATTTTTCTTTTTTTAAATCGAAAATCGAATCGAACCGTGACTTCAGAATCGAAAATGTTTATTTATTTATTATTTATTTTTAATTTTTAAACAGGAAAAGATTCAAAGATAATCGGGCCTGACTCAGCATGAATGCTGTTTTTCAGCAGGTTCCTGCTCTGCAGAACATAAAAACAGACAAACATCTCATCCATCAACACAGTACAAACAATCACCAAACATTTAAGATAAAGAAAAAAAGCAGGCTACTATCTCAGTGGCTACAGCGATAGTTGACCATCAGATGACGAGCATGGGATTTCTTAAAAAGTCTCAGTGTTGGTATTGTTTTGAGATGTTGTGGGATCTCATTCCAGACTCTTGTGAATACATAAAAGAAAGATCTCTGTCCATAACAGTTTTTAAAAGCCGGTACTGGCAAACATCCATTTGTTACAGATCTGGTGGAACGATCAGTCCTTGTGTTGAGTTTAGGTACAAATGCACAAAGGGCTGCTGAGGTAGAGCTATTTAAAATTTGATAGTACAAATTTGATAGTATGTAATCGAAAATTTGGAGGATCGTGACACCCTTAGTGAACATTGCCATCTTGGAATTGGTCATCCACGAACTGATGACCATCACAGCCAATCACAGTCATTTCTGTTGAGCAACCTTGAACGCAATGTCAAATTATCGCTGTTTAAGAACACACTCAACAGCGCTCATATGTTAGCTGGAAATGAGCGTTTTAATATTTCAGTATCGATTGATACCGAACTCCAGTTTTGTGACAACCCTACTCTGTACCAGAATTTTAATTATGGACCAATCTCTTGCTTTATCTGTCAAATCATCTTCTTTTCTCCCACCCCCTTTCACAGCGCCATACGACGAATTTTACTTGACACGTTGACCTTTGAACGTGGCTTAACACCAATCTATTCAAATTTGACTATTTACAAACAGCTATTGCACATTTATCTGCGATCTATTGTAAGGCAGCCTCCTCACTCCCTGCTCAGCTAGAAATAATACACGTTACTTTGGTTGAAGGATCAAAACGTTTGGTGCTAACAGGCCTCTGAGTCTCCGAGAAGTGGTTTTACAGTACTCCGGGGTCTGCTGTACTTCCCTGTTCGGTCTTTTTGTGTTTTCACTGGACTTTTTAAATCCCCTGCGCACAATGGCTGAGCTAAACGCAATCAATCAGAGCTTGATGATATATTCTCTCTCTCTCTCTCTGTAAAGAGAGCTGAGCTAGAGAACTCCCGGGCCAATTAAAAAGCCATTTTCTCTTCTCTCTCTGCACTCCATGGTGTCTCTATTGACCCGGGCGCTCTTCTCTCTTTCACTTAAAGCTTCAGTAAGCCGGGGTCACCCTCAACTTCGGCTGACACACACCAAGGGTTACCGTGCCCACCTGCTGTCGATGGCATCACGCATTCGATGCAAAAAAAAAGCACATTAAATCTGCTGCTGTGACTGAAATGAACACAGAATAATCATATGGAAAGAGTAAATATTTCTGGATGAGGGAACATTCATGGAGAAAGCGGTAATAAATCTTGCTTATAGTGAATGTGAAATCAAAACTGACTCTATTCTTAGTTGCTTAATACATGCAGTTGGTCTCAAGCACGAATCTATTATCAATTCATAACAACATTCTCCAGGCTCTGAAATCCTACTAGAACTAATCAAGCAAGAGAAGCAAGAAAAAATGATGTGTTAAATTTTTTTTTTTTAAAGCATTGCTAGATTATAAGGTTCCTTTGTGGTTGTTAAAGAGTTTGAAATTAATTAAAGGTGCAGTATTTGATCTTCCACAATGCTACAACAGCTTCCACAACAGCTTAGCATAAATCTCTAAAATAGTCCCTCCCCTGCCGTCTAGAGCCACGCCTCCTGAAACACGAGCACAGCAAAAAGAACCCTCTCTCGTGTTAAAAGCGACTAGTGCTTGTCCGGCGGCGTGCGGGAATTACACTCATTACTAAGCCAAACTGACATGCTATTTCAGAGCAAATATTTAGAGTTGTGTTGTAAACAATATAGGGAGAGACTAGGCAGAATAGCGATATTTGCTTGTATTTTGTTGTTAAACTAATTAAAATCTGCAATATCGATGCTGTAAAAGGTCCCTTATAAAACTGAAAATAGTCTTATCATCGATCTTTCACCGGAAGATTTTAGTGGCTGAACAACAATTCTGTGAATATATAACCCATTTGTAACAACAAAATATAACGTTACATCAGCTAACGTTACATCAGTTTTAAAACAGAACGTTACCTGTCTAAGAGAAATCCTTCAGCCTTTGTGTCATCCTTTCTTCAGCATGCAAAGTCACTCTAATATTGATTCAGGTTTTTAAAAAGTTTTCATTTAGCAGGTTTTTACCGATCGCGCACGTGCTCTCTCTCGTGGGCGTGCGGCGGTCGGCGGAGCTGCATACAAATGGCTGCGGAGTTGTTCAAATCTGCATTTGCTGACAGACAGATTGGGCTACTTATCGGAATTATGAGAGATGTCGGCCCGACATTTAATTAGATGAACGTTTTTTTTTTTGTTTTATGCCTTAGCCAAAATATAAAAATACCTATAAATACATTTAGATCGTTTACTTTAATCTCTACTATTAGACTGTGAAGAGACTTTCAACCAGCACAACAAAAACTGCTTCTAAAGACAATCATGTTCTGCACCTTTAACATTGGCATGTGGTTGCCAAGGTGTTGCTATCCACTTGCAAAGGTGTTCTAAATTATTTTTTGAGAGTGTTTTCTGATTTGATGCCAAGGTGTTGTGATGCACTTGCTGAACTGTTTAAAATAAACTGTAGAAAAGAGGTATGCAAACTTGGTCCTGTAGGGCCGGTGTCCTGCAGGGTTTGGCTCAGTCAAATACAGGCATATTACATTTATAAAAATGTATGAAATACGGTATTTTACTGTAAAAATGAGAAATTACTTTAACGGTTTCTATCGTATTTTTTACAGTGAAATACTAGCAACCACTGCTGTCACGTTTTGTTTGTTTACAGTAAATTTAACGGATTTATTTTTTACAGTTGTACTTCTAGCCATGCGCTGACGTGGTCTCATCCAAGTCATGGGTCTCACAGCAGGTCAGCCTTGTCTTCGGAAAGCATGTGCTCTCATGAATAATTAAAAAGCAGGGTCTTCTCATAGGATAAAAAAACTCTGCTTTGAATAATAAAAAGAAACCGACCTATCAATAATAATAATAATAATAATAGGGGGACGCAGTGGCGCAGTGGGTAGTGCTGTCGCCTCACAGCAAGAAGGTCGCTGGTTCGAACCTTGGCTCAGTTGGTGTTTCTGTGTGAAAGTTTGCATGTTCTCCCTGCATTCGCGTGGGTTTCCTCCGTGTGCTCCGGTTTCCCCCACAGTCCAAAGACATGCTGTACAGGTGAATTGGGTCGGCTAAATTGTCCGTAGTGTATGAGTGTGAATTAGTGTGTGTGTGGATGTTTCCCAGAGAAGGGTTGCAGCTGGAAGGGCATCCGCTGCATAAAAACGTGCTGGATAAGTTGGTGGTTCATTCCGCTGTGGCGACCCCGGATTAATAAAGGGACTAAGCCGACAAGAAAATGAATGAATAATAATAATAATAATAATAATAATAATAATAATAATAATAATAATATCACTACTATATTAGATCTTATAATACCATGTATCACTCTAAAATGTGTGTAAAACATAATAAAAATTAAAGCATGATGTCATCATTAAAGAACATTAATGATTGATGAGAGTCACAGGACTATGAAGTATACAAACCGATCATCAGGCTCCTTCTAAAGCTAAATATTATTTATTATTCCATGCATGTGTGTGTGTTTAAGTCAAGTAGTAGGTTGAGAGGATTTCATATTAAAAAGAATATAGTTAAGGACCCTAAAGTGATGCACCTCAGAGCCTGACATACCCGCTCAGGGTCAGCTCTCTTCTCCGTTCTGTTTTTCCAACACAAAGACTAGAATATATATCACCCCTGAGAAGAGCCCTTCAAAACACACAACGCTTTTTTTGTATGCATACAAAGAGAGGCGAGGTTACTTCAATGCTGCCTGGTCGGATTACAAATCAACCAAAGGCAGTTTATGAGTCAGAGGTATTTAAAGAAAAGTGAGCAATTCAAACTATTCACATTCTGCTCTTGCATTGTGAAAGAAGTCAGTAAACAGCGGTAAAAGCGGGTCGATGGGACAACTGTGGGATAAATGCATTACTAGCTTTCACTTATTTAAAAAAAAAAAATGACACATTAAGCTAATTAACAGAGCAAATGTGAAGGGGAGGGGGAGAAGATGATGTCATTTTACAGGTTGAAAAACCTTGAGACATTGGCTGGTACGTCACTGGCATCATAAAGCATACAGACTGCATTGCTATTCCAGACTTGCATGCACATTAGTTCTTTGTTTATTGTAATGCCTCAATCACCTCATTCTGTAAGCGCATTTGGGGTTTTTTAAAGCCTGATGATTAAACTGAATAACATATTTTTGTTTAGTTAGTTAGTTAGTTAGTTAGTTAGTTAGTTAGTTAGTTAGTTAGTTAGTTAGTTAGTTAGTTAGTTAGTTGGTTAGTTGGTTGGTTGGTTGGTTGGTTGGTTGGTTGGTTGGTTGGTTGGATGTTTGGTTAGTTAGATAGTTTGACCGTTATTTAGTTAGCTAGATATTTCGTTTGTTAGTTAGTTAATTAGATAGTTTGTTGGTTAGATATTTGGTTAGTTACTTAGATTTTTGGTTAGTTCGATAGTTAGTTTGTTAGCTAATTAGATAGTTTGATATTTGGTTAGTTCGTTTTTTAGTTCGACAATGTGTCCGATAGTTAGTTTGTTAGTTTGGTATTTGGTTAGTTTGATACTTATGTTAGTTTGGTATTTGGTTAGTTTGATATTTATTTTCAATTAGTTAGATTGCTTGATAGATAGACACACAGATAGATAGATAGATAGATAGATAGATAGATAGATAGACAGACAGACAGACAGACAGACAGACAGACAGACAGACAGACAGACAGACAGACAGACAGACAGACAGACAGACAGACAGACAGACAGACAGACAAGGATGGACAGATGGATGTTTGGTTAGTTCGATAATTTGTTCGACAGTTAGTTAGTTAGGTAGTTAGTTAGTTAGTTGGTTAGTTAGTTAGTTCAATAGCTAGTTGGTTAGTTAATTAGATAATTTGTTAGTTAGTTCCATAGTTAATTAATTAATTAATTAATTAATTAAATAGTTTGTTAGTCAGTTAGTTTGATAGTTAGTTGTTAGTTCATTGGTTAGCTCAATAGTTAGTTTGATAGTTAGTTAATTAGATACTTCGATAATTAGTTAGTTAATGAATTAAACAGTTAGGTAGTTAGTTAGTTAGTTAGTTAGTTAGTTAGTTAGTTAGTTAGTTAGTTAGTTAGTTAGTTAGTTAGTTAGTTAGTTAGTTAGTTAAATAGTTAGATGTTTGGTTAGTTAGTTAGTTAGTTAGTTAGTTAGTTAGTTAGTTAGTTAGTCAGTCAGTCAGTCAGTCAGTCAGTCAGTTAGTTAGTTAGTTTGATAGATCAACTGTAAACTTGTTAGTTCAATAGTTAGTTAACTAATTATATGGTTTGTTAGGGTTTTTTTTGTTAGCTTGATTGTAAGTTAGTTTGCATCTCATTTGTGACTGAATTGTGACGGCTCTGCCCTAGAACAGCATCTTGTTTTACCTTTGCTGAAGTCTTTGGGGTCCAGCGAGAGGCTATATCCTGGCAGGGTCTCCAACAGGAGTTTGTAACAGGCCTTCCAGCCCGGCTCAGGGATTGTGGGAGCCACACACTGCATGGCGGCAACACGTTTAAAGAAAGCAGATTTACGGTGGAAGCCGATGAGCTCATACAGCTCCGACAGCACACTGTACCGCTGGATCTTCTCTTCTTCTGACAGCTGACAGAAAGCAAAACAAACGCTGAACAACTGTGCATTAATGAGAAGCTTTTAAAAAGGGATTTGCTGTAACTCTCACCTGGCCCAGGTTGATGTAAACTGCGTTCTGGAGAAACTCAGATGCCTCCATGGCTCGTTTCTGAATAGCCAAAACTCGGACTGCTTTAATACAGGCCTCCAGCTCAATCACTCCAGCGCTCTTATACTGAAACACACACAACATGAGTTTAGTTTGTATTTGAGTTATGAGCTGTCAAATTCAAAGCCTTCATTTAATGCATCATGTATTTCTATTTGAGAAAATGATTGCAAAAAAAATAAAAAAATGCAATTAATCATTGCCCCGTCTGAGCAATTTTAGGTTAATTGTTTATTGAATAACTTTATTTTATTACAATATACTATAAGCTCAAATAAATGTTAAAATATATTGTAAAATAAATAAATTAATATAATAATATAATAAATAAATAAATGAGATTTCAATTTAGCTTGACAACCAATTGTCACTATTAACCAGTGACTTATTACCTTGCTATTATTAAGATATTGGCTGTTTATTAGGCGTTATAAAGTACATATTCTCCCTGATCTTACTCCACATCCTTGATCCTACCCAAAACTATTCCTAAACCCAACTAATATCTTGATAACTATTATTAAGCAGCTAATTAATAGTTTATTAAGCTGAAAGTCATAGTTAATGGTTAATTAATAGCAAGAATTGTACATTAATAATATAAAACAAAGTGTTTTTTTTTTTTTTTTTTTTTTGCTGGGCTCCCACTGTAAAAAATAAATAAATAAAAAAAAAATCAAACTCCCTGACTTTCACCCGATTTTCACTAAATATAAAGCTGAACTTCTAATGTCACAATAATCATAATAAAATGGTTTTAGCTTGAATATCATATGCATGCATGACTATAATATTTATTATGAGAACAACAAATTATTTACCTCAGATTTACCACAGCGTGGCTGTGAAATTCTTCCCCATATTTGATAGCTGGATAGTAGTTTTACAAGCTTTACAATTAGCGTTTCTGTTGTGACTTTTTAACACCTAGTTTTTAAAGAGGCCATTCTGAAGCCAAAGCTCTTACAATTAAGATCCTAACATGTTAGCCTTAGTTTTTTGACCTCCAACAATTGCCAACTGATGATGAGCATGAAAGGGTAAAAAGAACTGAAAAAAATGCATTAACTATCAATAATCAATATACTGTATGTGATAAAGTATTTGTTAATGTTAGTTAATGCATCAATAATCAATGCATTTAATACAATATTAGGTAATGTTCTTTGCTACAAACAACTTTTAATGCATTAACTATTAATAATCAATACATTTAATACAGTACTTGATAATGTTAGTTACTACAAACAGCTTTTAATGGATTAACTATCAATAATCAACACATTTTTTACCACATTTGTTAATATTAATTACTGCAAACCGCTTTTAATACATTAACTGTCAATATTCAATTCATTTATTACAGAATTTGTTAATGTTAGTTACTACACACAGCTTTTAAGGCATTACCTATCAATAATCAATACGTTTATTACACTATTTGTTAATGTTAATTACTACAAACCGCTATTATTCCATGAACTATCAATAATCAGTACATTTAATACGTTATTAAATATTGTTAGTTATTTCAAACAGCTTTTAATGCAAGAACTATCAATAATCAATACATTTAATACAGTTTTTATTTTTTTAAATAGCTTAACCATAACAAAAAGGTGAAACAACAAAATATTATTAAAAATATAGTATAGAACAAACACATTTTGTTAAATGGAAACAAAAATTAAGCGACAACCAACAACCTCTGATATAAGACAAATATAAAATAATTCCATGACTTTTAATGTCTTAAATGGACCTTCCAGAAATATTCCCCAAAAATATTTCACACATTCCAGCAGCTGTGGAAAGGACACCATTTATTTAAAGACATAGTTAATAAAAAATGAAAATTATGTCAATACTTACTCACCTTTTGCTTGTTTTGAACCCTCTATATTCTGTTAAAACACAGAATATATTTTGAAAACCTGTAACCACTGACTTCCATAATATGTTTCCGACTATGGAAGTCAATGGTTACAAGTATACAACATTCTTCAAAATATCTTCTCTTGTGTTCAACAGGAAAAAAATGAATACATTTTTGAACCACTTAAGGGTGAGTACATTTTCTTTTTAGGGTGAACTACTCTTTTTCTATAATATCCATTTTCAAAAAGGGTCAAAGAAAGGTCATGCTGTATGTCCATCTTCTATTCAGGATGTGAAATCATAAAAAACAAAAACTCAAATGAATTATTAAGTCTGCAGCGTCCCCTGCTGGAAGCCGACTGAACAGCTGATGTGGCAGAAATGAGCAGATCGATGAGGAAAACAGAGATTGAATGAGAAACTCCATTCACAAGGCTTCAGCCAAGTCTTTTACTTTATATAAGTAATGTGAGAAACAGCGAATTTGAAACACAGCATGCAAAAAGGGGAAAAATCATCCCCAGGGGCTGCTTAGTGCGAGATGCACATCCGAAAAAATTAATTTTGGGCAAACCACCTGCTTAAAAGCGAGCCCAGCCTGACTGCAATCTCTGCAGATGAATAATGAAACACAACTTTGAGTGTTTAATAAAACAATAAGCCCAGAGAAACTAGCATGCTAAAGTGCTTTCGCTACGGTTAAAGAGTGTTTTAGGAACAGCTGGAATCGTGTGCTTAAAACTCCCTGAACAAGAGTGAAAATCTCTGTAATACAAGGTTTTTAAAAGACATGTTCAATAATTTAATCCATTTTTATTATGGAATGACTGCAAAAGATGAGCATGCCTCATTTAGTCTGATTTGTTTATATACTATTGTATATAATTACAGTATTATAATTACAGTATTTGTTAATATTAGTTACTACAAATGGATTTTAATGCAATAAATGTCAATGATCAATACATTTCCTACAATATTTGTTTATGTTAGTGACTACAAACAGCTTGTAATGCATTAACTATCAATAATCAATAAATTTCTTACAGTATTTGTTAATATTAGAAACTACAAACAGCTTTTAATGCATTAACTATCAATAAGCAATACATTTAATACAGTATTTGTTAATGATAGTTACTACAAACAGCTTTTAATGCATTAACTACCAATAATCAATACATTTCTTACAGTATTTGTTAGTATTAGTTCCTAAAAACAGCTTTTAATGCATAAATTATCAATAATTAATACATTTATTGCCGCATTTATTTATGTTAGCTACTGCAAAAAGCTTTTAATGCATTAAATATCAATAATCAATACATTTCTTACAGTATTTGTTAAAGTTAGTTGCTACAAACAGCTTTTAATGCATTAAATATCAATAATCAATACATTGTTACAGTGTTTATGAATGTTAGTTCCTACAAACAGCTTTTAATGCATTAACTATCAGTAATCAATACATTTCTTACAGTATTTGTTAAAGTTAGTTCCTACAAACTGTATTTTACTGCATTAAATATCAATGATCAATACATTTCTTACAGTTTTTGTTAAAGTTAGTTCCTACAAACCGCTATTAATGCATTAAATATCAATAATCAATACATTTGTTACAGTATTTATGAATTTTAGTTCCTACAAACCGCTTTAATGCATTAACTATCAGTAATTAATACATTTCTTACAGTATTTGTTAAAAGTTAGTTAATACAAACAGCATTTAATGCATAAACTATCAATAATCAATACATTTAAAACCGCATTTATTAATGTCAGATACAGCAAACAGCTAATAATGCATTAACTATGAATAATCAATACATTTAATACAGTATTTGTTAATGTTAGTTACTACAAACACTGATTTTCATTATTAGTTCATGTTAGTTATGAATAAAATATTTTAATAACTGATTGGGAAATGGTGAAAGGATCCTGAACTAAGAATAACAAATTCTTTAGTATATTATAATACCTGCTATTATTAATACTACTTTATGAACAAGGACATTTATCAAAACAATAAACAACAAAATTAAAATAAAAATTTAATCTCTGCTTACTAATGTGGAATTTTTACAAAAAGAGTATCTATTATTAAACTGTTTTTAACAATGATAATAATTATGAATGTTTCTTGATCAGAAAATGAGCAAATCAGAATTATTTTTGAAGGATCGTGTGACACTGAAGACTGGAATATAGGAGAAAAAACATCAGCTTTGTATCACAGAAATAAATTACACTTTCAATGACACTGTATTATTTAATAAAATGTAACATTTCTTGATAAAATTACTGGATTGTAGGTCTTTGGTCAGCCTTGAGAAACACAGACCAGCTTCCAGAATACAAAAAATGATCCTCCATCATCTCAGGTATGTCTCACGTTTCTATGAATAAAATTACCTTGCCGTAGTAGGAAATGGCCTCCTTGTATTTCTCGATGATGTCCTCTTGACTCAGGCAGTTTTTGGCTCGGCCGATCTCAGTGCTTGTGTCTGCGCTGATCCCATTGGCCGTCAGAGCACCTGAACATGAAGACAAGAGAGAAAAAAATGGTGTTACACGAAGAAACCAAACAACACAAGAAAGCTGCTTCAGTACTGTGCATGCTTATGTAACACAACCATACATGTGCCTTAATATTAAAGACTTGGCTTATTATTGAAACTCTGAGATACATTAAATGATCTTATTTGTCTGATGCAAGACCTGGAAATCGGCAAGCAATCTCCTGAATTAAATATGAAAGTCATTAATAATTATGTTTAGGAAATGAGAAACTCAGAGTGTTTATTAATGTAACACCCAGAGCAAATTCACACTCTTTACTTTATTAATCCATGTTTCTGGTCTTACTGAAAATGATTCATCACTGAATATTCTTTTATTAACATTTAATTACCATCTGTACCTGTGAAATTGTTCAGAAACATGTTTCTGAAACCGTATTTTGGTCAAATGTATGCTGGCCTGCGAACTTGTGAGAGAGATCTATTAAAACTTGTTCTATTATATTATATTTGTGTTGTATTATATCTTTAAATAACTTTCTAATACATAAAACTTTGTATTATATAATATTTTCTTCAACAATTGAGGGACGACGATACTGTGGTAACAAAACACTGACCTCAAGTGGCGGGAAAACGTCTAGTAGAACAACTACAAACAGTACTTGGTCAAATGTATGTTGGCCTACGAACTTGTGAGAAATATCCATTAAAACTTGTTCTATTATATTATATTTGTGTTTTATTATATCTTTTTAAGAACTTTCTATTACATAAAACTTTGTATTATATATTTTCTCCAACAATTGAGGGACGACGATACTGTGGTAACAAAACACTGACCTCTAGTGGCGGGAAAACGTCTAGTATTCTTAAAGTGCTTCAGTTATATCAGTTCCTGACTTAGTTTTAAGGTCTTCTACAATAGGTTTGCAACAATTTATGGTCAAAAAACACTATATTTTCAACAATTTCGACATTATGCAAATGTAATTACTCAGTTTTCTGAATTTTACAATCCAAAATGTGAAGTTTTTGCAGACCTTTATTCTTTTAGGGCTGCAAAATATTGGGAAAATCTGATATTGTGATATTTTATATTTTTGTGCGATAAATATTGCAATATGAATATAGTTAGATCATCAAAGATGGTTTGAATACCTCTATTTCACAGTATTCTGGGGACTCTAGCAGTATTCAGGTACAGAAATGGACTAGAAACCAGACAAAATTCTAAGTAAGATTGTTTTTTTTCCATAAATCATATGAATTCCATATAAATAAAGTGACTAAATGCAATTCTGTAGCCCCTGGGCAACTATATTTTAGACTAATTATTGCATATCTTTAAGATGTGACTATTGTGGATGTGCACATTGCAATATCAATGCTGAAACATTATATTGTGCAGCTCTACATTTTTACATTCACAAACAGATGCATTTCATCATACTACATAAGAGGTAATAACCAAAGGAGAACAGTAGTCCATTACGATCAAAAGCACTAAACAATTTAGCTAATTAAAGCTTTAAACTACATTATTTTGAAAGGATGTTTTAGAGAATCACTGATAAACTCTGCAAAAAATCACAAACACCTTATCTAGTGATTGCAACAACAAAAAAAGCAGATAAAAACCTCATCTGGAATCAAATGTAAAGATTGAGATCCATGCACTGCGTCAGATCAGAAACACACAACGCCACCAAAACACCGGCATTCATGCACAAGCACAAGAGCTACAGCTACGTCACGAGAGCACAAACGGGAAGAAGAAAAGCCATTTCTAGAGCTACACGTGTGCTTTACTGTACCTGGATCAATGAGAACTTCTTGAGCGCCTGAAGACAGATAAACAGACAGAGGGGAAAGAGAGAGAGAGAACCTGGTTCACTCTTGGGCACAAGCTGCAGGTCATGGTTAGCAGTGTTAGTACAGCACATTTCAGGGTAAATTAATGCTCTGTTATGATGTTGATATCCCAGTATCGTGATAACGTTGTCAGTAGTGGTGAGTAGTCATGCAGCAGGACTGAAAATGTTATTATCATGGTTATTATTTTAAATGATGGTTATTAAGAGACATGCAAGCTTTAAAACAATATTATTCATTAAGTCATTGGTCCAAGGAACTTGAAATGTAAGTGAATGTTAAAAAGCCTGCATTTGCATGGCTATTACTAAAAAAGCAACACTTACTATGCATTCCGGCTTTTTTTTTTAAATAACAGCCATGTTATTTAACTTTTTACTTACTTTTAGAGTGTCTTGGAGTGATGATTTTTTTAATAAATATCTTTATGAATCCCTTATATTTAAAAAGCACTGTCATATTAATTACCCCTGAAGCATTTTTGTTTGTTTCTGGATTTTAATATTATTCATTATATTAGTTTAGACTGAAATAATGTATTTAAATAGATTTAGCTTAAGCCAAGGTTAAAATGTGTAAATGACACTGGAGTAAATAAATAAACATAAGCCAATTCTCTTAATTTATAATTATTTAATTTGGTTTGATTATTTTGTATTAAAAGGGACAGTTTGGGAGGTTAACTGCTCAACCTCTCAAACCCATTTCAGTTTCTTTTTTCTCCTGAAGACAAAACAAGAAATATATATTTTTGCGTGATTATTATTATTATTATTATTATTATTTTTTTTTTTTTTTAAGTATTATTCGATTTTGGGGGGGATTTCAGTGACTACAGGTTTCCGACATTCTTCAAAATGTCACAGTGTGACAGAAAAAATAAATCTCATCACAGAGAACCAATTAAAAAAATAAAGCATGTTAATGAATTATCTGCTTATTGAGGAGTTTAATGTGGTTAACACATCTGCTTAATGTGGGTAACACTTTATTTTGATGGTCCATTTGAGTATTAGTGGACTGTGTGCTTATCTGCTGATACCGCTGCTAAACAGACATTTAGCTGACTATAAGAAACTTTGCAAGTACATGTCAACTTACATTAACCCTAACCCCAACCCCAAACTAACAGTCTACTCATAATAATGAGAATTAGCTGGCAGGTAGATGCAATGGAACTGAAATTCATCAGATGGACCATCAAAATAAAGTGTAACCTTTAAGCATGTATGTTAATAATAGCAAATGAATATAGAAAGTGCACCTTCCAAAATGCAATTAAAAAAAATTATTTAAAAAATAATAAAAGGGAAAAAGAACGAAAGAAAAGTAAAATAACCAAAAGAAAAAATCAAAATACAGAAATGAAAGAAACAATAATAACTGAATAGAAATAATAATATGATGAGGGAGATAGCAAGAAATAAAGAGAAGAAGAAAAAAGAAAGGAAAGAAATAAGAAAAAGAAAAGAAAGAAAAGAAAGAAAGAAAGAAAGAAAGAAAGAAAGAAAGAAAGAAAGAAAGAAAGAAAGAAAGAAAGAAAGAAAGAAAGAAAGAAAGAAAGAAAGAAAGAAAGAAAGAAAGAAAGAAAAGAAATTTAAAAGAAAGATCAAAAGAAAAAGGAAAGGAAAGATAAAAGAAAAGAAAAAAGAAAAGAAAAGAAAAGAAAACAGAAAAATTAAATGAAAAAGAAAAAAAGAGTCTAAAAAGAAAGAAAAAAGAAAAGCAAAGATAAAAAGAAAAAGGAAATGAAAAAGAAAAAGAAAAGAAGAGAAAAGAAAGAGAGAAGAAAGAAAAAAGAAAGAAAAGAAAAGAAAAAGAAAGCCAAACGATAAAAATTTAAAAAGACAAGAAAAATATTGAAAAGAAAAAGAAAAAAGAAAAAAGAAAGCAAAGGAAAAAGAAAAGAAAGAAAGAAAGAAAGAAAGAAAGAAAGAAAGAAAGAAAGAAAGAAAGAAAGAAAGAAAGAAAGAAAGAAAGAAAGAAAGAAAAAGAAAAAAAAGAAAAGAAAAGAAAAGAAAAGAAAAGAAAGGAAAAAGAAAGCTAAAAATAAAAAGAAACAAAAAGGAAAAGGAAAGAAAGAAAAGAGAAAATATTAAATAGGGAAAAGAAAAAGTAAGCACAAAATAAAAAAGTAAGAAAGACAAAAAGAAAAGAAAAGAAATGAAAAGAAATTAAATGAAAAGAAAAAATGCAAGACTGGCTAAACTGCAGGGTGTTAAATTTCTGGATAAACAGAAATATGCAAAAACACCTAAACTGACTCTTTTGCTGTAGATTAATCTCTGGCTCCGCTGCTCTAAATCAGCATAATTAACTTTGCCTTACAGATCAAAATGAGAGATAATAATGGCTCTAGTTTAGACTAAACACTTCTGTTCTGCTACTCTAGAACTAAGCATGACGATTCCCTCCTAATGAGGTTTCATTAAAGAAAGAACAGTAAATTACGTTTCTGTGCATCTGCAAAAACAACACTGAAAGAGACATCCCAATTCATCCAGCCGCTTATTCACTGACGCATTCACTCATGATGTAATGAAAAACACTGAAGAAAACCTTGCTTTTCTTCATTAAGTATAAGCTTTTCCAAATCAAATAAAACAGAATTACAGGCCCGATGGTGCATTGGTTATAAAACCTTTTTTAATTGTAGCATTTAAATAAATCAAAGCAAGTCTATAATCATTTTATTACCCAAAAGTTGACCTCCAGAATCTCTCAAGTCACTAATATGTACATATGATGGATATTTATTTATTAAGTTAGGTCAGATTTAAAAGCTTGTGTGTTTGACTGCACTGACCAGGTCTGTGTCTCTTTCCAGCGTCTGCAGCAGAGGAGACGCCAGGCTTGCGGGCTCCACTCTTCCCTGCAGTGCCTCCTGGGTAATGGAAGATAACAGACGCAGAACACAGACCCTCCAAAGCAGCTGAGGAGCAAAACAGAAAATTCATTTTATTCTAATTCACCATTTCACTTTTTATACACCATGCAGCTCCTTGGGAAATAACGTCATATCCGTTTTGAAGCTGGAGATTTTGATGATGCGTTAACATGTTTGCTGGTTTTCGTGTGAATGTGAAATGATAGCTCATCCAAAATCAACATCTTAGTGGTAAAGTCAATTAATCTCTTTAAAAGCAACAGGCGTATACTCACTTTTTTTCAAGTAAAATCAAATAATCAATTTAACATTAACATGTTTACTCTTTTTAAGCAAGGTCAACTAATCACTTTTTACATTGTAGTGACTGCGCTTTACCTTTGAGCTATTCACTAAAACATCCCTGATTTGTGGTGAATTTCAGTCTATAAATCATCTGTATATCACAATCTTACCTCCCAGCCACAGGAAGTCAATAACCGCTGTAAAACAATAGGTTTGCTCTCTTCTTAAAATAAAGTCATCTAATCACTTTAAAGGCAAGAGGTTAACTCACTTTCAGGTCATCTAATCATTTTAAAGGCAACAGGTTAACTCACTTTTTTAAGTAAACTCAACTAATCACTTTGGAAAATTGTGAGTAAACCTGTTGGTTTTCATCAATTAATCGCTTTAAAAGCAACAGGTTTACTCACTTTTTAAGTCAACTATTTGCTTTGAAAACAAAAGTGAGTAAACCTAGTCAACTAATCACTTTAAAAGCAACAGGTTTTCTTACCGTTTACAGTAAAGTCAGCTAATCTCTATAAATGCAATGGGTTTATTTACTTTTTAAGTTAACTCAACTAATCGCTTTAAAAAAATTGAGTAAACCTGTTGGTTTTGGTCAACTAATCGCTTTAAAAGCAACAGGTTTTCTCACCTTTTACAGTAAAGACAGCTAATCTTTATCAATGCAATGGGTTTACTTACTTTAAGTTAACTCAACAAATCACTTTGAAAATAAAGTGAGTAAACTTGTTGGTTTTTGTCAAGTAATCGCTTTAAAGGCAACAGGTTTTCTAATTTTTTATAGTAAAGTCAGCTAATCTCTATAAATGCAATGTTATTCACTTTTTAAGTTAACTCAACTAATCGCTCAGGAAAAAAGTGAGTAAACCTGTTGGTTTTAGTCAACAAATCGCTTTAAAAGCAACAGGTTTACTCACTTTTTAAGTCAACTGGTTGCTTTGAAAAAAAAGTGAGTAAACTTGTTGGTTTTAGTCAACTAATCGCTTTAAAAGCAACCGGTTTTTCACCTTTTACAGTAAAGTCGGCTAATTTCTATAAATGCAATGGGTTTAACCAGTTTTTAAGTTATCTCAACTGGTCGCATTAAAACCAACAGGTTTACAGAGTTTATTAAGCACAGTCAACTAATCGCTATAAAACCAACAGGTTTACTTACTTTTTAAATAAACCCAACTAATCACTTTGGAAAATAGTGAGTACACCTGTCGTTTTTAGTCAACTAATCACTTTTAAAGCAACAGCTTTACTCACTTTTTAAAGTAAACTCCACTAATCGCTTTGGAAAAAAAGTTGTTGGTTTTAGTCAACTAAAAGCTTTAAAACAAAAAGGTTTTAAAGTCAACTAATCACTTGAAAGGAACGGGTTTACTCACATTTTACAGTAAAGTCAGCTAATCTCTTAAATGCAATGGGTTTACTCACTTTTTAAAGTAACCCAATCGGTTTAAAACCAACAGGTTTACTCAGTTTATTTAGTAAAATCAACTAATTGTTATAAAACCAACAAGTTTACTCACTTTTTTAGGTAAACACTCAACTAATCGCTTTAAAAGAAAAAGTTGTACTCATTTTATTAAATAAAGTCAACTAATCACTATAAAACCAACAGGCTGGCTTTTTAAGTCAACTCAACTAATTGTTTTGGAAACTTGTTGGTTTTAGTCAACTAATCGATTTAAAAGCAACAGGTTTTCTCTCCTTTCACAGTAAAGTCAGCTAATCTTCATAAATGCAAAGGGTTTACTTACTTTAAGTTAACTCAACTAATCACTTTGAAAAAAAAAAGTGAGTAAACTTGTTGGTTTTAGTCAAGTAATCACTTTAAAAGCAACAGGTTTTCTCACTTTTTACAGTAAAGTCAGCTTATCTCTATAAATGCAATGGGTTTACTCACTTTTTAAGTTAACTCAACAAATCACTTTGAAAATAAAGTGAGTAAACTTGTTGGTTTTTGTCAAGTAATCGCTTTAAAGGCAACAGGTTTTCTAATTTTTTATAGTAAAGTCAGATAATCTCTATAAATGCAATGGGTTTACTCACTTTTTAAGTTAACTCAACTAATCGCTTAGGAAAAAAGTGAGTAAACCTGTTGGTTTTAGTCAACAAATCGCTTTAAAAGCAACAGGTTTACTCACTTTTTAAGTCAACTAGTTGCTTTGAAAAAAAAAGTGAGTAAACTTGTTGGTTTTAGTCAACTAATCGCTTTAAAAGCAACCGTTTTTTTCACCTTTTACAGTAAAGTCGGCTAATCTCTATAAGTGCAATAGGTTTACCCACTTTTTAAGTTACCTCAACTAATCGCTTTAAAATCTACAGGTTTACTCAGTTTATTAAGCACAGTCAACTAATCGCTATAAAACCAACAGGTTAACTCAATTTATTAAGCACAGTGAACTAATAGCTATAAAACCAACAGGTTTACTTACTTTTTAAATAAACTCAACTAATCACTTTTGAAAATAGTGAGTACACCTGTTGTTTTCAGTCAACTATTCGCTATAAAACCAACAGGTTTACTTACTTTTTAAATAAACTCAACTAATCACTTTTAAAAATAGTGAGTACACCTGTTGTTTTCAGTCAACTAATCGCTTTACTCACTTTTTAAAGTTAACTCAACTAATCATTTTGGGGAAAAAAGTTGTTGGTTTTAGTCAACTAAAAGCTTTAAAACAAAAAGGTTTTAAAGTCAACTAATCACTTGAAAGGAACGGGTTTACTCACATTTTACAGTAAAGTCAGCTAATCTCTTAAATGCAATGGGTTTACTCACTTTTTAAAGTAACCCAATCGGTTTAAAACCAACAGGTTTACTCAGTTTATTTAGTAAAATCAACTAATTGTTATAAAACCAACAAGTTTACTCACTTTTTTAGGTAAACACTCAACTAATCGCTTTAAAAGAAAAAGTTGTACTCATTTTATTAAATAAAGTCAACTAATCACTATAAAACCAACAGGCTGGCTTTTTAAGTCAACTCAACTAATTGTTTTGGAAACTTGTTGGTTTTAGTCAACTAATCGATTTAAAAGCAACAGGTTTTCTCACCTTTCACAGTAAAGTCAGCTAATCTTCATAAATGCAATGGGTTTACTTACTTTAAGTTAACTCAACTAATCGCTTTGAAAAAAAAAAGTGAGTAAACTTGTTGGTTTTAGTCAAGTAATCACTTTAAAAGCAACAGGTTTTCTCACTTTTTACAGTAAAGTCAGCTAATCTCTATAAATGCAATGGGTTTACTCACTTTTTAAGTTAACTCAACAAATCACTTTGAAAATAAAGTGAGTAAACTTGTTGGTTTTTGTCAAGTAATCGCTTTAAAGGCAACAGGTTTTCTAATTTTTTATAGTAAAGTCAGATAATCTCTATAAATGCAATGGGTTTACTCACTTTTTAAGTTAACTCAACTAATCGCTTAGGAAAAAAGTGAGTAAACCTGTTGGTTTTAGTCAACAAATCGCTTTAAAAGCAACAAGTTTACTCACTTTTTAAGTCAACTAGTTGCTTTGAAAAAAAAGTGAGTAAACTTGTTGGTTTTAGTCAACTAATCGCTTTAAAAGCAACCGTTTTTTTCACCTTTTACAGTAAAGTCGGCTAATCTCTATAAATGCAATAGGTTTACCCACTTTTTAAGTTACCTCAACTAATCGCTTTAAAATCTACAGGTTTACTCAGTTTATTAAGCACAGTCAACTAATCGCTATAAAACCAACAGGTTAACTCAATTTATTAAGCACAGTGAACTAATAGCTATAAAACCAACAGGTTTACTTACTTTTTAAATAAACTCAACTAATCACTTTTGAAAATAGTGAGTACACCTGTTGTTTTCAGTCAACTATTCGCTATAAAGCCAACAGGTTTACTTACTTTTTAAATAAACCCAACTAATCACTTTAGAAAATAGTGAGTACACCTGTTGTTTTTAGTCAACTAATCGCTTTACTCACTTTTTAAAGTTAACTCAACTAATCATTTTGGGGAAAAAAGTTGTTGGTTTTAGTCAACTAAAAGCTTTAAAACAAAAAGCTTTAAAGTCAACTAATCACTTTGAAAGGAACGGGTTTACTCACATTTTACAGTTAAGTCAGCGAATCTCTTAAATGCAATGGGTTTACTCACTTTTTAAAGTAACCCAATCGGTTTAAAACCAACAGGTTTACTCAGTTTATTTAGTAATATCAACTAATTGTTATAAAACCAACAAGTTTACTCACTTTTTTAGGTAAACACTCAACTAATCGCTTTAAAAGAAAAAGTTGTACTCATTTTATTAAATAAAGTCAACTAATCACTATAAAACCAACAGGTTGGCTTTTTAAGTCAACTCAACTAATTGTTTTGGAAAATAGTGAGTAAACTTGTTGGTTTTAGTCAACTAATCGATTTAAAAGCAACATGTTTATTCACTTTATAAAAGTAAAATTAACTAATCGCTTTTAAAGGAACAAGTTTACTCACTTTATTTACTGTGATTTGCTATAAAAAAGACACTAAAACAACACTGATCTCTGAAATAAAGTCTCGGATTTGTGGTCAATTTCAGTCTATAAATCATCGGTATATCACCATCTTACCTCCCAGCCACAGGAAGTCATTAACAGAGCGCAGCAGCTCCACGGCCATGTGATAATGAACGAGGGCGTCCTGCAACATGCCCGCCTGCAGACACAGATCCCCGACGTGCTTCCTCATGCGGCCCTGACAGCGCTTCTTATAGTGCCTGAGGAAAAAAGCGGCATCAACAGGCGTCAGATGAACATTCGGCCAGCTCGGGTCTTAATCAATGCAAGAAAAACGCTCGCAGCCAAGTGCAGGTGACGTCAGCCATATTTGATTCAGGTTATTTTTATCAGCAGTGGATCGATGTCATCTCATTTGGCTCGTCTTATATGGAACAAAATGTGCTGATGTGGTTTTGCGTTAAGCTTTGTCTTCTGTCATAGTTTGGTATTTACAGACAGAGAGAGGAAAGCTGGAGGTGAAGAGACGGGTGTGGAGGGAAGGGATGCGCGCTAATAGGGACAAAAAACAACTCATGGGGATGGAGAAACTAAGTAAACTATATAATATATAGTAAGTAAACTACATAATATATAGTTTACTATATAGGGATTTCTGTTTTTATAATCAAACATGGGGGCAGGGGAACTGTGGTGGAAGGACCCCTATAGTAAAAATAGTGCTATAAAGGGTCAAGTGTTATTCAAGCAACAGCCAAAATAGAAAAGACACAAGAGAAATGTTTTGAAGACATTTATATATGCATTTTGGATAATACGTCATTTAATAACTTAAAAGGATTAGCAGATTTATATTGTGATACTAGTAGAATTGAATGTCAGGTATTAATTTGTCCAGTATAAGGATTGTACTTATTATCTCCTAACAAAATTACAAAATAATTAATATTATTATTATTTAATTGACATTATTATGGATTATTAAATTGGTGCTCAATGCCGCAGTTTAAAGATAAGGAAAGTGGTACAGATTTATCATACTTGTGAACTGCTATCCTAAATATTTATGCAGTTTTTATAGTTTATGAAATAATTGTATGTTAGTTATTTAAAATTAAAGTTATCAAATAAATAATATAAATATATAAATAAAACAACACCTGAAAAAAATTCTTAATAATAATAATACTTATTATTATTATTATTATTATTATTATTATTATTATTATTATTATTATTATTGTTGTTGTTGTTATTATTATTGTTGTTTTATTATTATTCATATTATCATTAATATTATTATAATTATTATTATTACGTTTAACAAATCAATTATTTAAAACTGAATTTCAACTAAAATGAACATTCAACAATTTAATGAAATTTAATATATATATAAATTACTAATTAATTATTATTATTATTATTATATAAAGATACATAAAATAATATAAATGTTGATTAAAAAAATAATCTGTAAAAATACAATTGATAATACTAAAACACTTATAAATAAAGATGACTGTTTAATGTTTATAACAAAATCAATAAAAAATATTTTGGGATGCAATTATTACATTTTCCTAAGTGTTTAATATGCATTATAAATAAAAGCATTTATAGAAACAAATGTTTATATTTATGTTTATAAATATTATTAATTATATCAACATAAACTTTTACAAACACTTTTAACTGATTTAACTTTAAAATAAGAGTCTATATCCTTAAATAACTAAACAACTAAACTATACTGTAATGTATACAGTATTTAATTTACTGGATGTCATATTTTAATTCATGCTTTGGCTATAGATGAAATGAACACAAAGCTTTGCAAGCAATCGCTCATGAATTACTCAATGACATCCACCAATGTAAAAGCAGAAGGAAAAAGAGGAAATAATAAGAGACTTGATCAAACACTTGACCCCGAATATCTTGCCCATGAAACAGCTGACTCAATGTAGGACACAAACATTGCCTTTCATCCCAAAACTGAGTTTGATCTTGCAACTCTTAAGCAAGAGAATGGAGGTCCAACCACTGAAGGGGAGAGGAAGAGGCTGATCGGGGAAAAATGAACTAAACAGGAGACAGAACCACCGGCTCACCTTTTCACACCCAATAATAAACTCACAGGACAGTATGGGGAAAAAAAGAAGAAAGACAAATAAAACAAGGCAAAACAAGAAAAGGGAAGAAGAAAAACAACAACAGCCATGAAAAAACAAATGGCAAAAACTCATGAAACAGGACAGAAGATCATGCAGGTTCACCAACAAGCAAAACCATCACACTGGAGGATTTAACGAAGAGCAAATCAGTTTACTTTTAGATGAAGTATACAAAACAATAAGCAATATCTACAGTCAAATATGTAATGTACGTGATTAGGGATGCGTAGACATAAAAATTATGTCCAATAATTAGTTTAAGGCCATATATATTTACAGCTAGCTCTCTACAACTCACATGGTCAACCACTGAAGTTAAGCAGGGCTGTGCCCGATCAGTACCTGAATTGGAGACCGCATGGGAAAGCTAGGTTGTTGCCGGAAGTGGTGTTAGTGAGACCAGCAGGGGGCGCTCAACCTTATGCTCCAGTATAGTGAAGAGGACACTATACTGCTCAGTAAAAGAGTAGGGGTTTAACCCCAGCACCCTGGGCAAATTTGCCCACTGGCCTCCGTCTATCATATCCCTAAAATATGCAGGAGGGCTAATAATTCTGACTGTCAACTGTAAATTTTAATTGAGTTGCTTTTTAAATGAAAGTGCTTTAAATATTATTAACATGCATAAAAAACATCAATATAAATAAAATTGTATTTTTCTTTAAGCTAATAATTACATTCTAAATAAATAAAACAAAAAGATCAAAAATACAAAAACATAAATATATAATAAAATTTAAAAAAAATGTATACATTTAAATAAATTAGCATGTCTTTAAATATAAATAAATAAAACAAATAAATATTTGTTTACTATTATGTGACTTGACTCAGAACTATACAGTATACACAAATAACAAATAAAAGTTCAGTGAAATTTTAAACAACATATTTTTGATCATAAAAAAAAGTTTATAAATGTTTGTATTTACCAATCTATACATTTGTATTTATCTTTAAAAACTTTAAATTACCACCTAATGCTCATTTAAAGTTGATATAAATAAAAAAATGTAGAAAAAAAAAAAGCAAGTCAACAATTTATTAGAATAAAGGTGCAAAATCAAACATTAATGCATGACAAACATCTTTATATTGTGCATCCCTAATAGTTAATAATAATAAAAATTATTTAACAACTGACTTTCTTACCAGTACAGATTATTTCAATGAATTTTTTTTTTTTTTTTTTTTGTTACTCACCTGCTGTCCGTGTCCAACCCCACAAAGTCCTTCTTCTCGAAGGGCACGCACAGCAGCTGTATCTTATCTCCAGATTTATCCGTTGCCCTGTCCAGCCTTTTGGACTCCAGCACAATAAAGATGGACTCCACGAAATCCTCCACTCGCTTCTCCACATCAGGACAGTCGTCGAAGCTGGGATAAAAGGCCACGTCTGTCCTCTGCTGTTCGGCCACTTCCCCCTGCAGCCCGAACACCAGCAGGCGAGAGTCGTACAGTGTGGAGCCGAACACCTCTTTCTGCCCGTGGAAACGATCTGAAGTTTGCGGCCACTCTTTGGCTGAGCCGCAGCTGGTCACGGAAATGAGGCCGACCACTTTGCGGTGGGTCTGAAAGTCGCCCCAGTCGTTGTTTTCAGGTGGGTAATGGTGGCGGTAGCGGATGAACAGGACGCGCTGGGAGTCGCGGATGCTGACCTGACTCACGCTGGCCACACGCTTGTAGATGCGGAAGAACTGCTCTTCGGGAACGATGCCCACTGGCTGGACCACCACCAGGACTGTCTGATGGTCTTCAGCACACTGCAGGTAGTCCGGAACACTCATGTCTGCACACAGCCACTCTGCAGAACAAAAACTAATATGTTAAGCAACATATTTTTGAGAAGATTGAGAAGAAGTTTGAATAAAAGAGCAAGTCTTTACATGTAAGTAAATACATAAATATTTGTTTACTTTTATATGACTTGACTGAGAACTATGCGGTAAAGGCATATAACTTTAATAAAAGTTTAGTGTAATTTTTAAGAATATATTTTTTATTAAATGGAATTTAAGTTAGTATAGTTATTATTTGATAGTTAATAGTTATTATTAACTGATAGTTAGTATTTGTACCAATTAAAACTACATCTGCAAAAAAAAAAAATATTTAATGCAGACAACTAAAGTATTAAGCTGCCTTTATTAAAAACATGCACAGTTTTAAAAACATTTTAAGTTTGATTTAAAGCTGATCAAAGATAACTGGAACAATTCTTTTAATCCCAGTTTCTTTGCAAATCCTGTCTTGTGGACGTGATTATACGTGTTACTATGGAGAGATGTTAATACATGGCTGTCAATCAATATTGGTGGGTGGGGAAAACCACAATGCATCACTGTGGGCTCCAGAATTGCTTGAATTTAGATGCTATTTTAACATCAGAAAAAAACTGTTTACACTAAAGTGTATTTAAAAGTTTAGTGTAATTATTAAGAATATATTTTTTATTAAATGGAATTTAAGTGACGAAAGTTTTTGAATGTTTTTCATTAATTAATCGATTAATTAAAGTATTTATTCGTTTTTTTTTATTGGTTTTAAAAACTTTATTACCACATAATGCTCACTTAAAGGTAATCTTTAAAAATTGCAAGTCGAGAAATAAATATATTAAAAGTACAGTCAAACAATAACACGTAACAAATTAGTACGGCACACTCATGTCTGCATACACTGACAAAAATATGTTAAACAACATACTTTTGAGAAGATTCGAACTATTTATTTACTATTTACTAATTTATTTACTAATATTTAGGGCGACACAGTGATTTAGCAGATAGCAGATCTATAGGGACCACACAAAAAATATTCTAATCTGAGTAAGTAGGGTTCTGCCTTTTTAGAATAGCGGTTAATCGCCACTGTTTAATGACCAAGACTGACATGCTTGTGCTTAAGAGATTGTATACTCGGCCGGTACAAGACTCAAGATGGCATAGGAATCCGAATGAACGAGAATAATATACAATAACGAACAGAAGAGAATATTTAATCATAATCTAAAGTAATATTAAAAGAAACAAAATAATCTTTAATGTTTTATAATTGGAGTCAAATAAAATGAGGATAAATATATTAATATTATAAACCACCTCATACTAAAATTGGAGTCAGATATGAGTTAAGTTGAAATTAAAACAACATTTTGCACTGGAAAGACTGAACATGCAGTGAACCTTCGTCCACCAGTTGACACAGTCATTGGACCAACTGGCTGGACTTTACAGGACTACGCTGAAAAGAAACTGAATGAATGAATGAACATTTATTTTGATTTCTTTTCACTAAACATACTTTTTTTCTACATATGTAATCAAACAATGTTAGTTCTATCTTTGTCTGACAAAACATTCTTTATATATAATTTATTATTGACATATTAGACAGTGTTTTCTTTATATCGTAGAAAATCAGTGATAGTTAGTATTTGTTACAAAACTACATCTGCAAAAAAAAAATATTTATTGCAGACAACTAAAGTATTAAGCTGCCTTTATTAAAAACATGCACAGTTTTAAAAACATTTTAAGTTTGATTTAAAGCTGATCACAGATAACTGGAACAAATCTTTTAATCCCAGTTTCTTTGCAAATCCTGTCTTGTGGACGTGATTATACGTGTTACTGTGGAGAGATGTTAATACATGGCTGTCAATCAATATTGGTGGGTGGGGAAAACCACAATGCATCACTGTGGGCTCCAAAATTGCTGGGATATGGATCCTATTTTAACATCAGGAAATGTAAAAAAAACTGTGTTTACAGTATATCACTTCAATATGACTGTGAACACACTATACCTACACACAGTTCTGTCCAAACAGTTGAATTTGGATCATAGGATCCCTTTTACATATCTTGCAGACAAATAGGTAGGACTGTATCCTTAAATACATTTAACTTAATCAAAAAAAATTGTTTTAAATATACCCAACAAAAGTTTGACTAAAAATATCAGTGAGTTAACAGTTTCCGTATTTTGTGATTTACAAGTGTTTTCTATTTATTTACGATTGTGAATCGCATAATGGGATGTTGATCTCTGCTTCGTGGACTTTTGATGTTGGAAATTTAGCTCTACAGTTGAACAAAGTTACTTTTATTGACATTTTAGTATTTTTAAATAATATAATGTATAAGAAATTATATATATATATATATATATATATATATATATATATATATATATATATATATATATATATATATATAAATAAGTCTGCAAAATAACAGAAAATCTACTGGCAGCTTATTACAAGGTTTTTGTAGCGTAATATACAACACCAACGGAGACAATATATCACTTTAACCTTTAAAATATTGAACTATTATTAAACGTTAATAAAAGTCCCTTTTTTAAATTTTTAAGATTAAAAGCTGTTGGAAGAAAGATTAAGATCTCATAATGCAATTCAAAAGCATAAATAATTAGGACAAAATAAAATATGAATAAAAAAATTTGAATATTGCTAATTGATGGATATTTTTTACAGTGTAGTTACTGTTTCAATAAATCGTAGTAAAAAAAAAGATAGTTATGTTCTTTTTTCAACCAAAACTACGTCAGCAAAAGAAACCAAAACAGAAAGATGTAAGATCATTGCAGACAACTAAAGTATTTGGCATTTCTCATCTCTTACTCTTATTTTTAATCTTAACTCCACGATAACATGACAACATCTGACAGTAATAAATGTGCAATGTTTACTAAAATACACACACACTGTCCTCCTACTAAAATGAATTAACGCTAGTAATTGTAATTAGCACAACAACAAAAAATGAATAAACCACCCTCAAAACATGTAATATTTACAAATTCACAGTCATAAATTAAATAAACATGACTAGATTAAAACAAACAGCATAATAAACAAACCACGAGAACTGTGAACTGTTTCGTTCTTAAATAAAGCCTTATTCAGCTCTCTATTTAATTAACTTTGTTTCATAAAACAATGATCTCTGTTTATTTTGACTAATTTAAGGGACATTTTATGGTTATATTGGTGTTTTCAAATACGTATTTGAATGAAACACCTTTAATTTCATCAGCAGATATCAATGTGACAACGCCATATTACTTTACGATATTATCTCGACATATAAAGTGTTAGATTTATTCGAATTTAATGCTGATATATTAATACCATGCGTTTAAAATGTGTGTAAAGGTTTATTTATACTCACAGAAGCTCTTCCTGTCAACACTGGAGCTGTCACTTCTTCTGCTGCTTCTGTCAGTGAGGAGAAGCGTGACTCATTTGTGCGTCTGCAAGCGCCCCCTGTTGGATGAGATCCAACGTTAAAATAAAATAAAATTAAATAAAATTAAATAAAATTAAATTAAATTAAATAAAATTAAATAAAATTAAATAAAATAAAATAAAATAAAATAAAATAAAATAAAATAAAATTAAATTAAACTAAATTAAATTAAATTAAATTAAATTAAATTAAATTAAATTAAATTAAATTAAATTAAATTAAATTAAATTTAAATTAAATTAAATTAAATTAAAAATACAATAAAAAGATTAAAAAATACAAATTAATTATTAATTATTATAAATTTTAAACAAATTAAGATAAATAGAAAAAAGTAAACGAAATGCATCAATAAAATTTTCTAATTCTTTATTAGATATACGACATATATACGACATAAACAATACAGTAAACATTAAAATGAAACAAAATTTAATAAAATAAAACAAATTAAATTAAAAAACAATAAAAAATAAAAATAAGATAAATAAAAAAGGAAACAAATGCACCATTAAAATGTTATAATTCTTTATATAATATAATATAATATAATATAATATAATATAATATAATATAATATAATATAATATAATATGCTCAATATATGACAAGAACAATACAATAAATAGAAAAAGGAAAAGTACATTTAACAATAAAATGTTCAAAAATTCTTTATATTATGCAATATGATTAATATAAAAATTATATTGAATTATTAATGTATGACAAGAACAGTACAATAAATCAGGGATGCCCAAACTAGGACCCGCGGGCCAAAGTTGGCCCATGGTAACCTTTGATTTGGCCCGCATGCCATCTGAGTGAGAGAGTGAGAATGGGAAGGTTGGGGCGAATGCCTTTAACAGAGATCATCATTTCTAATTTTATGTAACCTTAGTTTTTTTTTAAGCTAACTGAAATGTTATGTTTTAATTAAATGTTGTAAATGAATCTGATTTTTTAAAAATATAAATACTGTCACTCGACGCAAACAAGACAACACAGAAGACATCGGTGAGCAAATGAAGGCAAAAACAGGTGCAGCTTGACTAGTGTAAATCTATTCTAATAACTAATAATATAAGGGAGAATATTTTTTAACTGTAAAATGTTCATTATAAAGTTAAAGGATATATACTGCATTAGTTAATATAAAGCAATGTTTTCTAGTTATTTTTAAATATTTAACAAATTGGGAAAATACCCATGGCAACCTTAATGTAATAGAGCTTGGTGTATTTACCTACTCAATCAAGATTGGTTTTTGGCCCTTATTTGGGCAACCTTGCAATAAATAAAAAAGACAAAAATACATTTATCAATAAAATTATCAAATACATAATATAATATAATATAATATAATATAACATAATATAATATAATATAATATAATATAATATAATATAATATAATATAATATAATATAATATAATATAATATAACATAATATAATATAATATAATATAATATAATATAATATAATATAATATAATATAATATAATATAATATGTTTAACCTTCACTTTTTACAAGAAATATCATAGACATAAAAATAAAACTTTAATAGAAAAGGAAAATAAAAAATAGCAATCATACCAATATAAGAAATAAAATACTTTAATATTTTTATTATTATACACATATTGATATATAATAAGAACATATTTTTACATTTTTACAATAAAAATTCTTAAATTAAATTTTGTACAAATAACAAATAAAAAATAAACTAATAAATGAATGCTTTATACCTTTAGAAATATTATTGTGCGGGTAAAAAACACTTTTCAATGTCTTTCAGTCAAAAAAACGCAAATGAGAAGTTGATCATCGGAAAGGCCGCTCTACTCACAGGCCGCTCATGCGCGCTCTCGCTCACATAGCAGACCTTTCCACGCGCCTGCAGCCGTTCCTCCACAGCGCCTGTCATATGACCATCTTCCCGTTTGTTTGTGTTCATACAGCAAGCTAACCGCTTACCACTATGAAACCTCCTCATCCCTATCAAAACTAACCCTTTAATACCCACCGATACCACCTCATTTACTCAAACAAAGCCTGCGAAGTCCACACAGACATTTCAGAGGGATTCAAAGCTTTAAAAAACGGATTTACGATGTCGATCGAGTACGAGGAGCAGCTAGCCGGTAGCCTGGTGGACTCTTTTCCAAAAGATTTCGGCTACGGCGTGGAAAACATGGACATGATGCAGGAAAACCTGGAAAATTCTCCGTCAGCAGACAATAAACCCAGAATCCTGCTGATGGGACTGAGGCGCAGCGGGAAATCCTCCATCCAGAAGGTCAGGTCCCCAGTGGGATACAGTTTAGTCGCAAGAAAAATAATGAGTATTCCCATTGTTTTGGACACCAGAATGTATATAATATCGTTTTATGGTACAGAAAAGCACTTTAGAGAACACCTACAAAAACAATTATTTGGTATCATATGGTACAAGATGGGTAATTGATAACTGAGGTAACTAAAGCTGGTTTTATATTCGCATATTCAGACTTACTCCTTAATATCAATTCAGAAAATCATTATTTGCAAATTATAAATTATATTACCAGCCAATAACTATCAAAGTACAAAAAAAAAACAGTCAATAAAATAGTGCTAATGTTATTTTAAAGTCAAACATAGGTTTCAGACCTCGTATTCAAAGTAACTTAGCGTGGTAGGGACCATGTCACTAGACAAAATTAACAAATGTGTGAATATAAAACTAACTTCACCTCAATATTTTGATATACAAATGTTCTAAAACATGGTGTTAGAGTGAATTCAGTTCAATTGGTAGACTTGGTCACCTCAATGGCAAAAAAAAATGTCTCAATTGACTAAAATTTACCTTGCTACACTCTCAGAAATAAATTTACAAGAGCTGTCACTGGGGTTGTACCTTCTCGAAAGGTACATATTTGTGCTTAAATGGTCCTTATTAATACCTCGAGCATACATATTAGTACATAAAAAGTACAAAAATGTACCTCTTGAAATGTTTAGGTACTAATATATACCTTTGTGGTACCAAGATATGCCCTTTAAGTATAAATATGTATCTTTTGAAAAGGTACCACCTCAGTGACAGCCCTTGTACCTTTTATTTCTGAGAGTGTATAGTAGTAAAAGTACATCCACACATATACCTCGGGATTTTACTACACTGAAAAAAGTGTTGCATGCAGAACGGTTGCAAATAATTTATTTGTGTTGAATTTAAACAAACAAATTAAGTTTAATAACGTTCAACTTAATTTGTTTGTTTAAATTCAACACAAATAAATTATTTACAACCACTTAACGTAAACAAATTGAGTAAATCCAAGGAATCATCTCTGAATCATTTTTTTCAGTGTATCAAGTATTTATTTAATGTATTTAAGTGTCTAAGAATACCATGGATATTAGTAGTATAAGTTAATAAGTAGTATAGTATTCCCATCTATTGTTATTAATTAGTATTAGGACACTTGTTTAAATGTAAAGACAGTAAATTTTTATGCTGTATTAATAATAATTTGTAACTTATTTAAGTGCAACCAATATAGAAGTTTACAAAACCATGGTTTTACTATCTTAACATGTCATTCCATCAAAAAAAGTATTTAGTATCTATTCTGCCGTTAAAAAATCGGTATTGTGTTGTTTAAAAATATGTATTAATATGTGTAAAAACATGCCACCTTTTTATTATTTTATGCAAAATAAATTGCTCTAAACGAAAACATCTTATTATTGAATTTAGAAGATATGTCATCAGTAATTTACATAGTAAAATGTTCTATTTTATACTTGTTCTTATGTTTATTCTGTCAGTTAAAGTTTCTGATCATAATATGGATGATTCATCTGTGCATGTTATTGTGCAGAAGTGAAAAAAAAAGCTTTATATTATAACAAAAATTACACTGATGGTCTGTTGACATAAAGGGAAATGCAAAGAATATTTTCCATATTACTAAGTAGCATTTAATACTGCTTAAATTCCTGAAGTGTGGATTTATTTTTGTGGTTTGTTAAATGTGTTCGGGTGAAATTATATGTTGCCATTTGTGTAAATACTGTGTTAATACTATATAAATACTATAAAGTGACTTTATAATTGTTTATACCTCATCTGTTATTGAAGAAGGAGTGAATGAGATCATGTATTAAATCTCTATAAGTATATTATTTAGCATATTTTTCACCTCTGGTTAAATGTTTTGAATCTCAGGTGGTGTTTCACAAGATGTCTCCCAATGAGACGCTTTTTCTGGAGAGCACCAACAAGATCTACAAGGACGACATCTCTGGCAGCTCCTTCGTCAACTTTCACATATGGGACTTTCCCGGACAGGTGGACTTTTTCGACCCTACTTTTGACTACGAGATGATTTTCAGAGGCACCGGCGCATTGATTTTCGTCATTGATGCTCAGGTAAGTATGTGTGAAAACATGGCACCAGGGAAATATTCTGAGTGAGGTTGTTGACCTTTCTCTGTGTGTGTTTTTGTGAATACTCATTGCTTGGTTAAAATAGAAATAGCGTCCTTTTCTGGCATAACCTTGCTGTTATTATATTCTATTTTTGTCTTTTATGTTTTTATTTCAGGCAAAATGTATATGTCTCTTTACCTTTTAATCATTTCTAGTCATATTATGCATTATTCATCAGTCCATCTTATTGTGCAAAATAAAAATGCTTCATATTTTTGCGTAATTTCAGTCATGGTCTGCTCACTTAAAGGGAAATGCATTGCAAATACATTATTTTGCATTTGCAAAATAACATTTTATGTTTTATTAATTAAGTAACAATTAACATAAACCTGACAAAGTAGCATAAACCTTGCTGTTATCTTAAGACAATACACCAAATGTTTGTTTCCATGCACCATGTCAATTTTGGGCTTTTTTAAATAATATATTAAATGAATAACATGTTATTGAAAAATTAAAAATTGCATGTTAAGCATCTTCTGTAAGGTGATGAAAGAGTTAAGCATGAAAAACTATATCTACTGCTTACCATCCACCTAAATGTCAATTTCAGCAGCTCTTGCGTAAACCAAACCTCACAGTTTTATTAATATCAATATTCTGAAGGTTTTTACAAAGTGATGTGTTTAGATCTATATTTGCCTGATTATATACAACCTTTTAATTTACAAAAAAAAATAGAAATTATTATTAATATTATTATTACTGCTGTTAGTGTTTTCTGAAATATGGAGAGGGAAAATATAGGACACATTCATCCAAAATTTAATTTATTTTTTTAATGCTAGAAACTGTGTATTTGTGCATATATATTTTCTGAAATAATGCCTCATATGATTATTTAAAGAAAAAGACAACTTTAAGACCAACAAGGTTAGCAATTTTGTTGTACTGCAATCAATAATCTGTGAAAAATATAGTGATAACTATTAGTTAATGTTTACCCTAATCACCTATAATGTTTACCCTATCATCTGTCCTGTCTTATAGTAGCAGTTCACCCACAAAATATATATATATATATATATATATATATATATATATATATATATATATATATATATATATATATATATATATATTATTTATTTATTTATTTATTTTATTATTTACTTATTTTATTTAGTTATTTATTTATTTTTTAATAATCATAATACTTTTTTTATTTTAAACTATTTACTCATCACTTTTTCCAAAACTGTATGGCTTTCTTCTGTTGAACACAAAAGGAAGTTTAAAGTTACTGGAAAATGATGGGATAATGGTTGAGTATTGCGATAATGATATTTCCTACAATCTAACATATTCCCTTTTAAAATGAAATATTTATTACCTATGTTTTTAAATAATTTCTTTATTTAGTTATATATTTAAATAGACAGATATAAGAAATTCTTTATATCTAATTCAGACAAAAAACTGTAAAGGTGTGAAACATTTAGTCTTTAAAGCACTATGAATAAGTGAAAACCCGCACAGATATTCAGACTCTGATTGGCTGTTGTCATTTTCCTCTCACTTGTCTCGATTCTTGACAGTAGCATTTATTTTCAACTGGTATTTTTAATTTGGGCTGCTCTAGCCAATAGCAGGCATGGATAAACGAAGCAAGGCCCAGTTTAAATGGACGAATTTAGATAAACAACCAATACATAAGATTAATGTCATTTATTACACGTATCACACACTCACCATGAATGTCAGTAGCTACCGATTTCAAACTTTCATCAAAATATCTTTGTTTGTGTTTATTGTGTAAAAAAAATAAATAAATAAATTATATATATATATATATATATATATATATATATATATATATATATATATATATATATATCATTTGGGAATGGTTTGTGGGTCAGCAAATGGTGTGGTATAACAAATGTTGATACTGCCTTTACCATTGTCTTTGTCTCTCTGTAGGATGATTATGTTGAAGCGTTAGGACGGCTTCATCTAACGGTGTCGCGGGCGTTCAGGGTGAACCCGGAGATTAATTTTGAGGTGTTTATACACAAGGTGGACGGTTTATCAGACGATCATAAGATCGAGACGCAGAGAGACATTCATCAGAGAGCCAATGATGATCTTGCTGACGCCAGTCTGGAAAAGCTTCACCTCAGGTTGGTAAAACTGATTTAAAAACCAGATCAGTCTGCCTTCAAGCTAATGAAAGCATGGATGGAGAGTGTTTGGTGGGATTATGGGGTGTAGTGAAGTGATACCCCAGCAGGTAATTCACTAGATAATAAACAGTGCTATTCCTGAAACGTCTACTAACACTGTAAAAAAAGCTTGACTCAATCTAAAATTAAGGCAACTTGCTGTAGAGCTTTTTGAGTTGACTCAAAGCAATTCAAGTGCAGTACTTGGGTTAAAAGTCAACCCCAAAAAATCTTTGCAGCAAGTTGCAATCAATTTTTAGGTGTCAACTTTTGTTTTTACAGTGAAAACTGCAAAAAGAGCAGTCATTAATTGAATCGAAATACATATATTACATAAGAAATAGAATTGAAATGTTATATTGTTTTGCAGTATTAACATTAAATGAATTTAAAACTGAATAAATGATAGCCTAATGGAAATAAAATATTAAAGTAGATTCAAATATGAATTATAGGATTATTTTAATACTAAAATCATATTGATAATATATTTTTTCCTTAGATTTTTATGTTTGTATGATGTCAAAATTGATCTTTACTTTAACAAATATCTCCCTTACGCTGTTTTAATCAGTGTGATTTTATTAGAAAATAATTTTCTTTATTAATGCAACATTGAATTGAACTTAACTAAAGTGAAGCTTATTTTATATCAGCTAGTTGGCAAGAAAGTATTTCTCATTTTCATTTGTTTAACAGCAAGCTAAATGATTAAATTAGTAATGCAGTATTAACATTAAAGGAATTTAAAACTAAATAAATGATAGCTAAATAGAAATAAAATATTAAAGTATTTTCAAATACGAATTATATGATTTTTTTAATACTAAAATTATATTATAATAATATTATATATCCAAAGAGTTTGTTTGTATGTCAAAATTTTCCTTTAGTTTAACAAATATCTCTGTTATGCTGTTTTAATCTGTGTAATTTTATTAGAAAGTAATTACGTTTATTACTTAATGCAATGTTTAATTTCACTTAACTAAGCTAAAAAAGCTTATTTTATATCAGCTAGTTGCCAACAAAGTATTTTTCATTTGTTTAACAACAAGCTAAATAATTGAATTAATAATGCAGTATTAACATCAAATGAAGCTGAAACTGAATAAATGATAGCTAGATAAAAATGTAAAACTACTGAAAAAATAAAATATTAAAGTAGTTTCAAATATGAATTATATTTTTATGTACTAACATTATATTAATAATATATTTTCCCTTACATTTTTATGTTTGTATGATGTCAAAATTTATCTTTACTTGTATATCTCTAATATATAAAAATATCTCTGTTTTGCTGTTTTAAACAGTGTGATTTTATTAGAAAGTAATTTCTTTTATTACTAAATACAGTATTGAATTGAGTTTAACTAAACTAAGAAAAAAAAGCTTATTTTATTTCAGCTAGTTGCCAACAATTATTAATAATTAAAAGTAATAAATATAAAAATATAATACAAATACACAGACAATGAAAAGATGAAAACACAGCAAAATTACTAAAACATTAGCAAAAAAATTAAGTGAAAACGGAAACAGTAAACAATAATTTAAAGTTATGAAACAAAATCTTCAACACTGATGTAACCGCGATCTCTTGGTTAAGTGGAGTTAATTAATCTACTTTCTTTTTTTGCACTATATTTCCAATATTTAGTATGTACTATATTCATATAAACATTATTCTGAAATACTCGTCCCATTATCAACGTTCAGTTATTTTAATTAAAGCCTAGTTTTTAAATCTATAATGTATTTACCAATACTAACAAAATATTGCAGCAAAAAAATCAAATACTGAATATTACAAATGTAAATTTCATAAAACAAAAAAGCACAGACAAATTTGAATAAAGCATGTAAGCTATTTAAAAAAAAAAAAAAAAAAGATTGTTAAATTAAATGCTATTTTCTTAATCTGCTTTCAGTTTCTATCTAACCAGCATCTATGACCACTCCATATTTGAGGCCTTCAGTAAGGTGGTCCAGAAACTCATCCCTCAACTCCCCACGCTGGAAAACCTCCTCAACATATTCATTTCTGTACGTCCACTTCTACATACCCTCACTTTTAATTGATTCCTTTGAATAGATGATCTGAGGAAAATACCTACCTCTAATTCCAGACTACTTCATACTAGTACGAAAACCTATGCAAACATGTTCACCAAATGCATGTTTATCAGCAGAATCTTTTCTGTTCAGAATTCTGGGATCGAGAAAGCGTTTCTGTTCGACGTGGTCAGTAAGATCTACATCGCCACCGACAGCTCTCCGGTGGACATGCAATCGTACGAGCTCTGCTGTGATATGATCGACGTGGTCATTGACGTCTCGTGTATTTACGGGTGAGACTCTGTTAAAAAGAGTGAATATGTTCATTTCAGATTCATTTAGTTTTATTAGTCTTCTTTACACTACAGCAATATTATATTAAAGCACTAGGGTTCCAAAGTTATCTGTCATTTTTGTAAGAAGTGTTTAGTGTGCAAGACTGCATTTGAGCGTTTAAAATTGACTGTTTTCAGTTGAATTATATTTTATGATTGTTATTATTATTATTAAATGAATTTTTAGCATCATTACTCCAGTCTTTGGTGTCACATGATCTTTCAGAAACAGTTCTGATGTGCTGAAATATTAAATATTTATAGTGCTGGGCAACGATTAATCGCAACCAAAATAAACGTTTGTTTCGACATAAGACATATGTGTTTTTATATAAGAATATTTTATATGTTTCATTTTAATGTATTTATATTTAATTATATTTTATGTTTAATTTAATTAGTATCTTACATTTAATATATTTATATTTAATTTGATTAATATTTTATTTAAATTTAATATATTAATATTTTTATAGTATAATTTTTATTTAGTATAAATGTATTTATTTAAAATTTAATATTTATTATTGTTTTTGCATAGATATTTAAATTTGCTTACAATTTGTATCATATACATATTATATATATCTAAATATATATTTTATCAAATATTTGCGTGTATTTGTTTAAACACAATAATCACAGTACACATGCATATATTATGTCAAAACAAACATTTATTTTGAATGTGATTAATCATGATTATTTTTTTCCCAGCACTAAATATTTATGTTAATATATTCATGAAAATTGAATGAATTAATAACAATAAAAATATCTTTATATGTTTGTTTATCAATTTAATGCATCTTTGCTGAATAAACATTTTAAATTTAACTTTTTTTTAATTAAAAAAAATTAAATGACATTTTTGAAACACGTTTTTATATACTATAAAAATATATTTACATTTAATTTATATTTTAAATATTAATATTTATTTATATATTTTTTTATTCAATTTATATTTAATACATTTACATTTACAGTTTTATAGTATTTTAAATTTTTTGTAAATATGTAGTTTTTTGCATAGATGTTTAAATTTGTATACAATTTGTATCATACATATCAAATGTCTAAATATAAATAAACATTTGCTCAAATATATTCATGCATGTGTGTATTTAGTTAAATATACAAAATAAATCACAGTACACACATATTATGTCAAATTTTTTTGGATGTGATTAATATTTGCACTAAATATTTATGCTAATATATTCATGAAAACAGAATAAATTAAAAGGCAAAAATGATGATGATAACATTATTAATATGTACTATAACTTTGATCAATTTAATATCTTTAATGCCGAATAAACGTATTTTAAAGCACATTCTTTAATAAATAAATACATTTTTGCAATGAGTAAGATCATATGTTTTATCTTCTATTATGTGAAAAATATTGTATCCATATTGTTAATGAGTGTTTTGTCCATTTGTTAAACGTTTTAGCTTAAAAGATGAAGGCAACGGAAACGCTTATGATAAAGAGTCTCTGGCCATCATAAAGCTGAACAACACCACAGTGCTTTACCTGAAGGAAGTCACTAAGTTCCTAGCGCTAGTCTGCATCCTGAGAGAAGAGAGCTTCGAGAGGAAAGGTACAGACTATTGACATCATATCTGCAGCTTTTGTTGACTGACTGCATGTTTACCAGCTCAGCCTGTCACATAACCAGTCAATACATGCAGTCCCACCCTACATTAGCTCTTGTTCAAGTGTCTGTTTCACTCTGATAACAGTTGCTACTTTCATTTCATGCTGACTTTGCATTTCATGTCTCCATCTTTTTTATTATTATTATCGTAGAGAACTATATACATGGTGGCTCAGTGGTTAGCACTGTCGCCTCACAGCAAGAAGGTTGCTGGTTTGAGGCTCGGCTGGGCCAAATGGCATTTCAGTGTGGAGTTTGCATGTTCTCCCCGGGTGCTCCTGTTTCCCCTTGTCCAAACACATGCGCTATAGGTGAATTCAGTAGTTCTCAAAGTGGGGGTCGGGACCCCCCGAGGGGTCGCGGGGCAATGAAGGGCAGTCGCCTGGTGATTTCCAAAAATCTATTTATTTTTATTAAACCATAATAATTAACTTATTTTATCCATAACTATACTGAAAATAAAAATAGTAGTTTATAGTTACTATATACTATATAGTTACTATAGTAGCTTATTGTTACTAGGTCTATTGGATTGCGACCCCTGGGGTAATTACATTTTATTAAAGGCAGCAATAGCGTCAGATGCATTTTGATTTTATAACATCAGGTTATACTTTCTGGCACATTTAAAGCACTGACACAAATTTAATTGGTGTGTCTGCATCATTGCATGCAAGGTTTCTGTATTTATAACCACCTCAGAGGATATTGGGGGTCGCGAGTCACTGGCGTTGTTATTTTGGGGGTCGCGGGCTGAAAAGTTTGGGTACCCCTGGGTGAATTGATCAACTAAATTGGCCGTAGTGTAAGAACATGTGTGAATTTGAGAGTGTATGGGTGTTTCCCAGTACTGGGTTGCAGCTGGAAGGGCATCCACTGTGTAAAACATATGCTGGAATAGTTGGTGGTTCATTCCGCTGTGGCGCCCCCTGATAAAATAAGGGACTAAGCCAAAGGAAAATGAATGAATGAGTAACATTTACATGATGTCTCCATCTGCTGCAGGTTTGATCGACTACAACTTCCACTGCTTTCGAAAGGCCATTCACGAAGTGTTCGAGGTGAGCGGCTCCACGCAGAGGATGGGGGGAGCGACAGTTCAGTCCAGTCCTCCTAGCTGCAGCGGAAACGGCCTGAGCAGACTCAAATCCACAGCACTCAACGGGACACCCAGGAGCCTGGTGTAACCCAGGACAACACGGACCTCTACGAATCACACTGAACTTGAGATTTACTGGAGCGTTTCTCTAGCTATACCTGCTGTTCCAGGACCTGAGAGACACAACGGGGACACTCAAAACAGGACGGATTACATTGCTGCTTTTTTAAAAATGATATTTTGATGTGTGTGTGTGTATGAGAGAGTGTGTGTGTGAGAGAGAGAAATTGTGTTTAATTGTGTTAATAGGAGAAAATGGGAAACAGCCAACAGAATGAGGTACGGTTAAATGATTTAGAATCACACCCAGCAAATCTACATACAAATCCAGTGAGCTAGCTATCATTTTTATATTATTATGCCTTCATAGTGGCCATATGTGCTGTCTAAGTAGGGCGCTCACTAAGTTTTGAGACGCATCCCACTTTACAGAGGTTTCAGGTGGAATTTCACACGTAATGCAGAATAAAACTGCTTAAAATGGAGCGGGATTTTTTTTAGATGCATTAAATAAAACACGTTTTAAAGGGCACCTATGATGAAAATCATCTTTTGTAAGCTGTTTGGACAGAACTTTGTGTAGGTATAGTGTGTCCACAGTCATATTGGGGTGATATTAACAAAACAAGTCTCTTTTTTTTTTAAGTGTCCTGACATTAAAATAGGATCCAAATGCCTCTCATTTTGAGACCGACCACAATGGGATGTAGGCGATTTCCCCCGCCCACCGAATTGATTGACAGCCACGTATTAATTATTGTCTCCGTAATAATGCGTGTAATCGTATCAACAAGACAGGACGTGTGCAAAGCAACTGGAATAAAAGATCTGTTCAGCACACTGTGATCATCAGTCAGCAAATGTGATCAAGAGTGAGTTTAAAAAGTTTTAAACGTTTATGAAACAGGGCTTGTTTGTAATCAATTACAGCGATTTTACCGTTTTTAATCACCAAAGCTGCGTGTCAGTACAATTATAAAAGAAGAAGCTTCAATCCCCATTTGTGGACGCTAAATCAGGTTTATTTTGTACATTAACATAACGGATATCCATACAGCAGTGGATATTAACCTGTGTCCTGTCACATTTGCCGCGCAAAAACAGTGTAAAGTTAAATGCGTGCGCTCCGTAAATGTGAAAGGGGCTAATGCCATCACAAAGTTCACACACAAACACACAAAGACGTTTCTGGAAAATTACCGTCAATTTTTCCGGAAAGGTTTGTATGTGTGAACTGGCCCTTTTTGAAAATACCGGTAAATTCGTTCTGGCTATTTTCCGGAAAGAGAAGTTGTAAGAATGCCGGTAATTTATCGGAATGCCGCTCTATGTGAACGCAGAAGGAAGTTTACCGGAAAGGGCGTGAGATGTCTACTCCAGCCAATCAGAACACTCAGACGCATTCACGTTCGCACTGGTTATGAAAATAAAAGCCTTTGAATATTTTTCCAGACACATTTAGCTGCTAGATGTTAGTCAGATACCGTATACATGTTCCTTCTTAATGCCAACTGTGTAAATATGTATCGATAAGATTTCTATGATAAGCCGTTGTTTGTTTACCTTCAAGCTCTGCTTCCTTCAGTTGCTTGATGCGTTGCATGTGCCCGTGAAACAGCCGGTGAGCGCTAGCACACACACATATTATGTACATCTCGACATGCGAAAGTGTTCCTCCTGATGTTTTCATCGAAGTTGTTCACAATACTAATGCATCCACAGAGTTTGTAATTTAATCAAATGTTTACAAATACAAGCGCAGCCGTTTAGAGCTAATATCTGGTTAAAGATGTGAGAATTTACCGGTATTTGGAATGGATGTGTGAATGGTCTTTTCCGGAAAAATTCGGTAACATCCTCACCTGTGTGAACAGCTTTTTTTAAATTTACCGATCAAGTCGTTCTGGAAATTTTCCGGATATTTACCAGTATCACTGTGTGAAAGAGGCTATTGTGTGTGACTCATCGTTGCAGAAAGGCTTGAATTAACTCCACCACAAATACATCAAATAATCATTGGGAACGTTCTTACTGTAGTATTTCTCAGAAACATTACGTTAGATCTGCTTCCTTCATGTCTGTCACTGTGCTGTTTATCTGGCAGCCAGAGATTGAGGCACGTTCTGACAGGCACGTGGGAACGGTGGGCGGGGAGAACTAGTATTAAAGGCACAGGCAACACAAACAGCTACATAGTGATCAAAGCGGAAAATTCCACCATTCTGAAAGGTCTAATAAATAATCTGAAGGGTGTCTTGAGCTGAAACTTTAGAGACATTCTGGAGATCTTAAATCTTGAAAAGGGGGTAAAATAGGTGCCCTTTAAATGAATTCTCATTGCTGTAAAAGTTGTTACTTTAAAACAGTATTTTTAATGTAATACAGCACGACTGGATTACATCAGTCAGTATAAAGGTTGAACAATATATAGTATGAAAGAATTTATCCTTTTTTTGTTGCTGGTTTGTTTTGTTTTTTACATTGTTAAAGGAGAATAATACAGTAATAAGGACTTGAGTGAAATATAAGGGAGCAAATCACACAGAAATTTAAATATACTGTTAATTTCATCATCATCATCCTCAGGAAATTCATCATTTAAATGCCACTTCTGTTCAGTAAAACACTAAGAAAGTATAATAAAAATCATATTAAGACAAAACAGAGTGGCTCCATTGTTAGCACTGTCGCCTCACAGCAAGAAGGTTGCTGGTTCGAGTCCCGGGTGCTCTGGTTTCCCCCACAGTCCAAAGACATGCGCTATAGGTGAATTGAATAAACTCAATTTTTTGTAGTGTATGTGAATGAGTGTGTATGGGTGTTTCCCAGTACTGGGTTGCAGCTGGAAGGGTATTAGCTGTGTAAATCATATGCTGGAATAGTTGGCGATTCATTTCGCTGTGGCTACCTCTGAAATAGAGACTAAGCCGAAGGGGAATGAATGAATGAATAAATATTAAGCCAAAACCGTGGCTGTGCATTACAGCGTAACACTGTTATAATAATGTTAATTTTCTTACAAAGACTGATTATTTTGCTTCATAAACCTCAATGAATAACTCTTTTTTTTTTTTTTTTTTTTAAACACCGTCCAAAGAGACTTGCATTTTATAAATCCCCCAGGATCATGCTTTAAGCTACAAAAATAATCATTTTTTATTTGCCACTAAAGAAAATAAGTCACTTTAAATTACCTGACGGTGATTTAAATTCACATCATACTTTAATATTTGGCATTAACTCCCTTTAAACATCCTAAAAACTCATTAGAAATGAGTTACATTTTCTTAAAGGAATATATTTCCTACATCTCTCTGTTCATTATGGGGTAAATGTGACTCAATTCAACTATTAAACCGATGATTTCATGTTATTTTACTCTAATCTGTAGCAGATTTCACAGGCGGCCAGACCTCTTTAAGATTGCTGTTGTTAATACTGGCCTGTTTTGTGATTGTGTTGGCTGTGCTGTGGAAAAAGAAAGCAAAAAAAAAGGCTAAAGATGTACATCATGTGCGTCTGTGAACAGCCTTACAGTGAAATTAAAATCGCATACACACTTTTTGCTTCCACGCAATTGATTTGTGTTGAGAAAACATGAAATAATAAAGTCAACTTATTAGTTTTAACCAATTCAAGTGGATTGAATGTAAAACAATTGTTGTCCCTAAAACAAACCTCAAGAATTGTGTTGTTGCAGCTCATTTTAAATAAGTAGTTTGAACAAACAGCATTTTGGAGAGTACCAGAAAGCATGTTTCGCCCTTAAAATGCTTCTTCCACAGTTCGGATATGTGGAAAAACAGATTGACTCAAGTGTGTTTGACTCAACAGTGTTTTCATATGTGAAGTCCCAGGGTCCAAAATAACCCGTTTTTTTTTTTTTTTTTTTTTCTACGTGATTCATTGTTTTATTTATATTCAAAAATCCCCCTTTCTTGAATAGATATAAAAATGAAGTGTGAGTGTGCGCGCGCGTGTTTACAAGACGCCAAGTCCGAATGATTGTCAGTGTCTGTTGAGTGTTTTTCCTTCATTTTTATTTTCTAATAAAGTGTACAAGTGTAAAATATTAATTTTGTGATTGAATTATAAAGATTATTACCTGTAAAATATGGAGAAAAGGATAATTGTTTACTGGCGGTATATTTTGTCTCAGAGCACGGTGATAAATTAAAGCTATATTCATTTGAGTCTGGTTTGTCTGCGCTGCTCTTGCTTCTCCTCTAGGTGTCGCTGTCTGCCACGATTCAACACATTGGTAGAGCTAATCTGAACTCTATTCTGCAAGACATACAGCGAATTTAAAAAGGTTTTTGATTATTTTCTGGTGGTGAAAAGATGACAAAATAATGATATAGATTTTAAATGATTTTGAAATAGGTTTATTCTGCTCACCAGTATTAAAAGTAGCATACTTGATCTAAAAAAAAAAGGGAAAGGTTCATATTAAATACAGTATCAGGCCTATAGCCAGCCTATTAAAAGGGGTGCTTCTTTTTTGCCTTAAACAGTGGACCTATTTGCCGTTATTTGAGGTTTAAATACTGCATTTTAGGGACATTTTAAACACTAATTTGTGCTGGATTAGCTTGTCGGATGGTTATTACCACAATTTTTGATGCAACAAAAATACTTCCTAGTGCTTATACTATTTTTTGTTTATAAAAAAAAATTTTCATATACAAATGTGCATTTAAACTAAGTTATTACAGTTTTATATAAAATGTAATGAGATTAGAATTCTAGAAATATGAAAAAAACGTATTTTTAAATGCCAAATTATTATCATCTATCATAAAAAACAAGCAAAAAAATGGGAATCTGTTAAAACTTGTTTTAAATTAAAAAATGTTGCCTATGGGCAAATAACAAACTGCCCAGCTCATTTCCTCAATCAACATTTGTCCATATAAATAATGAATGTTTCTTTTATTGGTTATTCTTCTTAAAGCTTTCTTCTACTGGTTATTTTCACAATTTATGATGGCATACTGTCAAAAATGGGACAAATGAGCTCATATAGGGGCCAAATTCTGGACATTGTCAGGAGGGGGGTAGGTCTTTCGAACCACCCCAACCCCCCTGGCTACGGGCCTGAGTATTATTAGTTTGTTTTGCATGTGTGTTTTTTGAACACCGCTCAAAGAGGCATTGACTTGCATTGTATAAATCTTCAGGGATCACACTGCTAGCAAAAAATACTTTTACAAGTTCTACTAAAGAAAATAAGTAACTTTAGATGACCGGAGTGTGATTTAAATGAATATAAAATGTTAATATTTGGCCACCTCTCCCTTTAAACTTCATGAAATTGTTGTCAGTGTAAAAAAAAAATCAGGAACAGGTTTAGATTTTCTTAAAAGGAATATATTTCTTTTAAAAAACTGAAAAAGTTTCATATCAAATAAATATACTAAATGCTTTGTGAGCAATATCAGCATGATTTCTGAATTATCACGTGACACTGACGACTGGAGTAATGATCTGAAATTCAGATTTGAGTCTCAGGAATACATTTAAAATGTATGAAACTGTTAATTTAAAGTCTGAATATCAGTAGTCAATGTCTAAAGTGGATCAAAAATGGTTTTCAAACTGGTCCAGAGACGAGAATGAATGTTGTTCAATAGTTTTCGATCCACTTCAAATATTGACTACTGCACTTCACAGTATTACTATTTTTCCTACAATTTGGCTGCAATTTTAAGCTGATAAGACGCATTCAAAACATTGCAACCACATTATTTTGTAATTACTGATTTAATTTATTACTTAGCCTATTAATATTTAATTATTAGGGTTTCCATAAATGTACAAAAATGTAACAGTATGCATATATTAACACATGTATATATAGATAGAAATAACATATTGTGTAGTGTTTTTTAAGGCATTTAGTGCAGCGTGCATGCTTGATAATACATAATTAATTCTGCAGTGTGATTTAAATGAACGTAAAATGTTAATATTTGGCAACCTCTCCCTTTAATCTTTATGAAATGGTTGTCAATGTAGAAACTAAATTAGAAGCAAGTTTAGATTTTCTTAAAAGCAATATGTTTTCTTAAAAAAGGAAAAAGTTTAATATCAGAAATATATACTAAATGCTTTGTGAGCAATATCAGCATGATTTCTGAATTATCACGTGACACTGACGACTGGAGTAATGATCTGAAATTCAGATTTGAGTCACAGGAATACATTTAAAATGTATGAAACTGTTAATTTAAAGTCTAAATATCAGTAGTCAATGTCTAAAGTGGATCAAAAATGGTGTTCAAACTGGTCCAGAGACAGGAATGAATGTTGTTCAATAGTTTTCGATCCACTTCAAATATTGACTACTGCATTTCACAGTATTACTATTTTTCCCGCAATTTGGCTGCCATTTTGAGCAGATAAGACGCATTCAAAACATTGCAACCACATTATTTTTTAATTATTGATTTAATTTATTAGATCAAATTTAGATTAGATTCCACTATATTGTCATTACATATAGAAGGCAACAACCAGGAGTGCAATAGGAGCAAGTGCAGGATATGGGTATAAGTAATAAAGTGCAATTATAGAAAAAATTATAGTGATATTTACAGGAGGATGTACTATGAACATTATATACAGATTGTATTAAATAAAAAGAGCAAAAGAGTCATTGGGGGCCAGAGTTCAAAATCGAGACCGCTCTGGGGAAAAAGCTGTTCCTCAGTCTGCTTGTTTTCGTCCAGGGGAGCCTAAAGAGCCTGCCGGAAGGTTAGTTAGTCTATTAACATTTCATTATATTTATTATCAGGGTTTCTATAAACTTAAAGAAATGTAACATATTATGCTAATAGATATACAAGCCTGTAGTCAGCCTGGTGAAAGGGTGCTTCTTTATTTCTCATAAAGTGGATCTTTTTGCAGTTATACGCCTCAGTTTCTATTTAATTATGAGACCTAAATACTGCATTTAGTGACATTTGTTTTGCTGGATTAGCTAGTCAGATGTCATCCTAACCACACTTTTTGATGTTCTAAAAATATTTCCTAAATAATTGCAATAAAATTTTTTTAAACAAGACTAGTTTTTAAAAATATAAATTTATTACATCATATATCATTAGGAAAAAATAGCAATCTGTTAAAGTTTTCTGTAAAAAAAAAAACTGTAGCCTACTATCATTTATTAGACTAAAAACAAACTGGCCCAAACATTCAACTGTCCTGTCACAATTTGGCCATTTCAATAAAAAATATTAATTAAAGCATAATAATAACATTCATTTATTCATTTTCTTGTCGGCTTACTCCCTTTATTAATCCGGGGTTGCCATAGCGGAATGAACCGCCAACTTATCCAGCAAGTTTTTACGCAGTGGATGCCCTTCCAGCCGCAACCCATCTCTGGGAAACTTCCACACACACACATTCACACACACACTCATATACTACGGACAATTTAGCCTACCCAATTCACCTGTACCGCATGTCTTTGGACTGTGGGGGAAACCGGAGCACCCGGAGGAAACCCACACGAAGGCAGGGAGAACATGCAAACTCCACACAGAAACGCCAACTGAGCAGAGGTTCGAACCAGCGACCCAGCAACCTTCTTGCTGTGAGGCGACAGCACTACCTACTGCGCCACTACCTCACCTAATAATAATAATAATAATAATAATAATAATAATAATAATAATAATAATAATAATAATAATAATAATAATAATAATAATAATAATAAAAAAATAATAATAATAATAATAATAATGAATTCTTCAGATTTTTTCTAGCCACTTTAGTAAAAAAAAAAAAGTATGTTAGAAAATTCCTGGATATCAACAATAGCCAAGATATACTCTATTAAAGTTAATTTAATATGGTCACTTCTGGTGCTGCACACCTTTTTATTGCTCAGTTTTATTTCAGGAATAAGGTCCAAGATTTAGAATCAAGTTACCTGTAAAATGTCTTCTTTGTTTAAAAACAATCCAGTAGTGAAAGAAGACTTCTCTTACATCAGATTATAGTCCAACTGAAGCAACAGCCGACAAATCATTCCGTTTGGTCTTTAAGCCTTTTTCGATGGATTATTTTCAGTATTTATGATGGCACTGCAGTCAAAATAGGAAAAATGAGCTCATGTATGGGACAAATTCTGGACCTTTGTCAGTGAGGGGTGGGTCTTCCGATTCGAACTACCCAAAACCCCCTGGCTACATATGGATACATAACATATGCATAGATATATAGATCAAAATAACATATTATGTGCTTGTTTTTAAAGCATTTCATGCAGTAAGCATGCATAATAATACTTTATGAATTCTAATGAATTAGGAATAGCCAACATAAAGCATTTCACACATCTTGTCAAGAGCATCTTTATATTGTAGGCTTTTAAAGAATATTTAAATATGGCCTACAGAATTTAAAAAGACAATCAACGTAGGACAATATGTTATAAAAACCAAATAAAAATGCTTTTTATGCGCGCTTGCATTTTTGAAATTTATGACTAATATTTTTTACCTTTTTGTAAATTAGATGGAAACACATTTGCGCAATAAAGTCTAACATAGACAACATTACTTACTTGTTATGTCACCTAATTTGCATTTTATTTTGTTAGTTTTTTTTTTCACGGGCTTTCTGCCGATGAAGGTCTGGATGCGGTGTGTGTGTGTGTGTGTGTGTCAGATGAAGGCGGGCTGAGAGTAAATGTCTCGCCCAGTGGGAGGATCTGCTCTGAGCAACGAGTTTCATGGGAAAAACTGTCTCTCTCAGTCAGACACACTTTACACGCTGAGACACACACACACACACATCAGCAGGACGCTTCACGAGCACGGTAAGAGCTCAACTATTACTGCAGAACAGTATTCAGTTTTACAAGCTGAATAAAAATGATACGTGATCAAATAAATGTCCTCATATTGTGATTACATGATTATTAAGCTCTTCAATATATTTGTTTGAATTGTTTTAGTACATAATAATATTTAATATTGGATTACATTTTTATTAAATATTTTTTTTATATAAGATTACATTTGACTTTAGTTTATCATGATAACCTGCATAAGCTACTTAAAAAGCCATGTGTATTTTGTATTGATTTTGTAAAATATTTATTTGAAATTATAGTAATATTTAAATTCAGTTAATTATTCAGGCCAGATTATTATTTTTAGGCTCATTAATGATTAGCATTTACATTTGTGAGTTGATATTTTATACGAGTTAACCTTTTTTATATTATTGTTTTGATTTATTTTAGCATATTTGAATATTGTAGTAAGATTTTAATTAATTATTAATATTTTTAAATGTAAATATTTAATAAGAAATTATTTTCTGTCTTTGTTTAAAAAAATTGTATTAATATTTTATTTAATGTTAAATGTAAGCCTATGGATTTGATGTTACATTTTTCTGTTCTATGAATAATGTACATATTTACAGGTTCTATAAATAATCGTGGAAATATAATGTATAACACGTTTATACACAATTAAACACAAAAATATTGTGTTTAAGTATTGTTATTTTTGTCATGTGCTTCTCCTTTGCTGCACTCAAGAGAAAGAGTTTGCTCTTCGTTCAATCTACTCATGTAAAATAAGCTGAATCAACAATTCTTGAGATTTTTTGGAGACAACCTAATTGTTTTCAGTTCAATACACTTTAATTTGTTAAGTTAACTTGCTGGATTTGTATGAATGAACTGTGTGAAAGCCAGCATTTTTACAGTGTGCAGTACAGTATCTTTGATAGATTAAAAGCAGTTTATTTTCCATAAAACAATGATAGGACTCACTGAACTGTGTGGCACCCCAGGGGCTCGGCGACAAACGCAGCATGAAAAGTGAGTTATTTTTGTCCAGAATGCAGTCAGTTCACACACACACACACACACACACACATACACACACACACACATACACACACACACACACACACACACACCTCTGTGTTCCTGCTTATAATCACTACTAAGATGAATTTTTAATTAATTTCCTTAATTTTCTCCTCCCTGATGTCTTTTCTCCTTCACAGACTTAAATGAGCACAAAAGTATTTAACAACAATTATAAAACATTAGAAAACATATGTGTACTTAGAAATAATACATGTAGCTTTTAAAAGTTCTTTATATCGTAACAAATATCCTTATTGCAACTCTCAACAACAACAACATCACATATTGCATATTTTCCCAGCATCAATAAGCCCTAAATAGTAATGAAACGGGTTGACGATTCAATATCTGAGAACATTTCTCAAGTGTCCTCAGAGAGATGGCAGAAATGCTTCTCAGATTGTTTGGGGAATCGTGGCTTCCTGGTGGTGGAGATAAATGTGAGGGATGCAGTTTTGTGGACAGTCAGTGTTGGGGAGTGTGATATATGAAGACTGAGGTTTCAGACTGAGGAACTGAAGAGCATTTTTTCCACTGCAGGATTTATGGAGCTTCAGTGTAAGATTCAGCACCGGCTCTGCTCTGATTCATGATGTTTGAAAGCTCGTGGAGGTTTTTCTGCTGTCTCTCGCGTGGGGGTTCATAAATTAGTCAAGCTGTCGTGCTGATGAACTACCAACAACTATGTTACATTACAGAACCTTATAAAGTCTTTTGAAAGGTCAAGATTGAATTTTTGGCACGTATACAGTCGCTTGCTTTGCAATTTAACAGTTAAAAGCTTTTTTTCAAACATAACATTAACCAGTTAAACATAGCTTAAGTTCCAATTATAAACAAAAGAAAAAAAAATGAAAGCATTGAATTACTAACATAGCATATCAATGATACTGATACTGTGACAACAAAAACAAATACAGAATTTTATACTGTATGTTTTTATTGTTACGTTTAATTAATTATTAAAATGGTAAAATTCAAATCTTTTTTTTTTTCAGGCACCAGTGTATTTAATTTAATTTCAGGCAGCTGTTTTAAAGTATTTCATTTATTTATTTATTTATTTAATTTATTTAGGACAAGTATGCAATGACATTAATTTAACTTAAATGTTGTATTTAAATTTTAATTTAATTCAATTTAATTTTACACAATTACAAATTTAAAATGTAATGATAAATTTGTTTGTTTGTTTTTTCAGCAGATAAATCCTTCCAATGCATTTTTAGTGTATATTTGTATTTATTTAAAAAATGCACATAAAAGCACACGTCAATCTCAAGTGGGTGTTTGGCAAAAATTATTTAATTTCAGGCAGCTATAACAAAACGTTTTTATTTTATTTTATTTTAGTCCAGAAAAGTATGCATTGACAATTATTTTACTTAAAATTTTATTTAACATTTAATGTAATTTATTTTAATTTAATAAAAAGTTTCATTTAAGATGTAATAAAAAAAATTAATTGATTAAATTTAAAATATTATTTAATATTTAAATTTTTTATTTATTTATTTATTTATTTATTTATTTATTTATTTGTTTGTTTGTTTGTGTATTTATTTATTAGATAAGCTGATAAAATAGTCACCTTATTTGTCTTATTTATATACATGTATAGGGTGAGGCAGTGGTGCAGTAGGTAGTGCTGTCGCCTCACAGCAAGAAGGTTGCTGGGTCGAACCTCGGCTTAGTTGGCATTTCCGTGTGGAGTTTGCATGTACTCCCTGCCTTTGCGTGGGTTTTCTCCTGGTGCTCCGGTTTCCCCAACAGTCCAAAGACATGTGGTACAGGTTAATTGGGTAGGCTAAAATTGTCCGTAGTGTATGAGTGTGTGTGTGAATGTGTGTGTGGATGTTTCCCAGAAATGGGTTTAGCTGGAAGGGCATCCGCTGCGTAAAACTTGCTGGATAAGTTGGCTGTTCATTCTGCTGTGGCGACCCCGGATTAATAAAGGGACTAAGCCGACAAGAAAATGAATGAATGAATGAATGAATATATATACAAAACATGCATGTATTATACTTATACAGTGAATTTAATACATTTCTAAAGACTTTAACTTTTACCATTTAAGTTTGTACATAGCATGTCTTCCTGTATTTCTGCAGTGTTACAGACAGAAACACTAACTCTGACCTCTTTTTAAAGAGCTGCCTCATTTACTTTCATTTTAACGGCAGGCATGAATGGAACATGGCATTATGGGAAGGCGCCAGTGAGGTAAACATAATGCTAATGTTTACAGAGCGCATTAAAAACGGCTTGTAAAAAAAGAGTAATTAGGACATTCGCTTTCTATCCACAACCCAACATACCCACACTTTTCCACCATGATGTCACCAGCGACTCCCAGATTTTGGCATCAGATTCAACAGTTTCCACTCAAACACGTCATTATGGGGTCTGAACGGATGGGTGTAAATGGAATTGGGGGTGGACCACATAATGTTCTTGGGCCTAAAACTGGCAAAAATGCGTGCACAATCTTTCTCCGTGAGTATACTGGCAGAAATGTTAGTCTTCTAAGAACGCCATCTGGTTTTTCTTCTATTTGAGAGAGTGGAATGTGCCGTTTTTAGGCAGAAAAATGCCTTTGTTTGCCCTTTCTGAAACCATCGAATTCTTGCCTGACCACAGTGGCATTCCCACAGGGTGGTACAGGGCACACAGACAATTGCTGGATGTGTGCCAGAGAAGAGCACTAGGATTGCAGACACACCACAATGGACAAAATCAGACCTTTGTGGATTTATTTTCCTAAATCAAGTCAGTTTAAATCATTATTATTGAGTTTGAAATGCTCGGGGTAAAATGTGTTCGCTGAACTTGAAGTGAATTCAATGAAGCGCATGATTAAAAGTCATTTCGGCTTACTGTACATTTAACTGACTTAAAAAATCAAGTTAAATGTTGTATAACCAATAAAATTAAGCTGATAAAATAATTTTAATGAGTAAAAGTAACACAAAAACATACACTGTTGATGTTTAAAGTTTTAAAGGGACAGTTCACCCAAAAATGAAAGTTCTGTCATCATTTACTCACCCTTTGCTTGATTAAAACCTGTTTGTTGTTGTTTCTTTCTTCTATCAAACATGTACTGCTAATAAATCAAACTGTTTGCTAAACATCAGAAGCTAGTTCCAACATGTCCAATAGCAGGAAGACACATTGTTCATGAGAGAAAACAAACCTCAAGATCTCACCCCGAGATATTAGATTCAGAATTAAATGTCTTGACGTTCCCCTGATTGCTGTTTATTCTAAAGACTGGAATTTGCACTTCTGCACATTTTGCTTTAATTGCAGTTCACTTCATTTCCCAGAATTTTCACTTTTTATGTCAGTCAGTTCAAGTCTTTAGCTTTGCTGGTGACTTTATGGACAGTGTGAACAATAATATGTCAATTAATAACTACTTTTTTTCAATATAAAATTATTAAATCTTATTAATGAGCAGGTCCTACATTTTAAATAATGCTGGGTTCCACACAATTCCTTCATGTTGTCCCAATGCTAACTGATTAAGTTAAGTGAATTGAACATAAAACAATGAAGTTGTCCCATAAAAAAATACCTTAAAGGTACTGTCTGTAAGTTTTTGACTCTTCTAAAGCATAAAATACCACAATATGTTTGCAGATATTTAAGAAACAGTGGACATTTGAGTTTCTCTGAAAAACAATGCTGAAGTCAGATGTTCTGCTTTGAAAATGTGCGTTACGTGCTGGAACGTCTGTCTTTGTTTTGGTCCCTTTAACCCGCCTATTGCCAATTTTATTTCAGCACACTGGGTTGCCTTGGTGGAAAACCACGTATTTCATTCATTTATACAAGAAGGCTCTCAAAGTATGCGTCCACGACCGAAAAGCGACCTTTAGTAGACAGTAACAGACTCCAAAATGAGAAGCAGATTCAGAGTTCCTCATGAGGTGGTTATTATTGAGCAAATAATATAATATTATGAACGTGAACATTAGGTGAGCAGGTTATATTACGCAGTGATAAGAGCAATTCTATGCAACTGTCAACCTTGCCATGAAAAAACTACGCTTCAACCAAAACAGCGAGGCCGTTTTTGCATTTTTGGTGTAAGCAAGTATTTTACAGTACTTAAAAACAACTCAAAAATGTCTCCGTCGATGTTTTCAAACTATTATAATTGATTTAGCAAAGTCACAAGTGCTTCAATTTCTGTCACATCCATAATGCAACTTTTACCTTTTAAATGCAAAAATGTCAAATAAAATACCAACTCATCCTTTTGATTAGCATTGTTCCTGGTGTTGTTGTGCAGTTTAATTCATAGAATTTCTACAAAGTATGTTACATACTGTACTGTAAACTCGCAGGCTTTTTTTCCATCACATCCATAACATATTTATTTTCCTCATTTAAAATATAAAAATGTTTACAGATTGATATTTTTCTGATCCCATAACTCTGTGGTTAGTTTCTTTGGAAAATATAAACAAAAGTATCAATATAACGTTAGCATATAGTCTCTTTGAGAGTTTAGGTTTGGAGTTTTTACTTCAACTGTCACATCCATAACGTTGGATTTGCTCATAAGCATTTTGGCTGTTTGCACCAGATGAAACATGACAGAAATTAAAAAACGGCCATTCAGAACACTGCACTCCAACGAAATGGTAAGGTTTATAATCTAATTAATACATATTAAACCTCTTTAACATTATTAAATGTACATGCTGGATCACTGATTACTGTGTCAAACTTACATACTGCACCTCAACTTTAATAATTGAGTTGTTTCAACTCATTTTAAATAAATACTGTAGTTTGAACAAACAGAAGTCATTTGAGTGTGTATGAAAATCAGATTACAAAATAAATTGGAGAGTTGAATTTAAATAGTCTACAGCATAAATTAAATCTCTTTTTTCTAAGTCACATTGGCATTATCATAATTACAGAATAGC